TATTGACTACCTCTTGACAAAACGGGAACAGCTGGGTTGGTTGGTTTGTCGTTTAACGCCACACTCAGCAATATTCCAGCTATATGACGGCGTTCTGTAAATAATCGAGTCTGGACCAGACAATCCAGTGATTGATATCATGAGCATCGATCCTTTGGGATCGATGACATGCTTCAACCAAGTCGGCGAGCCTGACCACCCGATCCCGATAGTCGCCTCTTACGACCAGCATGGTCGCATTTTACGGCACGTATGGGTTGCTGAAGACCTATTCTACCCCGGATCTTTACGGGTCGGGAATAGCTGGGAGAGAGAGACCGGCGTGTGTTACAAGATTTGTGCTGTCAACAAGGCCAGCTCAAACGTCAATGCTGATGTCATACCAAGAGATGTTTAAATATTGTACTTGTTTTTACCCAGCCCGGCGTTCGGAATTACGGGGATAAAACAAGGATTGATTTGCTCGGGACATTGTGTCTGAGCGGAGTATCCACATTAAACCCTTAATGTACAGGCATGACAAAACATTGTGTCAATCAATTAATCATCTCTTTTTACAGTTTGTATTTTTGTTGTTTAACGAGGGCAGTCGGGTAGCCTAGTGGTTAAAGCGTTCGCTCGTCACGCCGAATACCCGGGTTTGATTCCCGACATGGGTACAATGTGTGAAGCCCATTTCTGGTGTCCCCCGTCGTGATAAGGCTGGAATATTGCTAAAAGCGGCGTAAATCCATACTCACTCACTCAGTGTTGTTTAACGCCGCACTCAGCAATATTAAAGCTATGTGACAGCGGCCTTTAAATAATCGAGTCTGGACCAGACAATCCAGTGATTGACATCATGAGCATCGATCCACATAATAGGGATACGATGACATGCATCAACCAAGTCAGCGAGCCTGACCACCCGATCCCATTAGTCGCCTTATTCAGTGTGAAGGCGACTAGAACATTTATGAAATAAATCGGTAGTGGTTTGTTTGTATTTGTTTAACGCCTCACTCGGCAATATACAAGCTGTATGATAGCAGTTCGTAACTAACTGAGTCTGGACCAGACATTCCAGTGATTGTAAAACGAACCATGTTGATGTGGTACGATCACACGCTGTCGACCAAGGTGGAGAGACTGACCAGTAAGTCGCCCCTGACGACCAGCATACTATACCAATTCAAACCTGGAATCCCCAAATGGCATAGTGTCATTAAGCACCAAACATAGCGTTTCTAAAGTTATACTCTACAAAAAAGGAAACGCAAAAGTGATTTTAGATGTATATTTAATATATCATATAAATAATCAACAGATGGTAATCGATTGTTCACATATCATTGTCATTGACATTGGCAAACACGGAATGTAGATTTTCAAGGTGAAGGTCATCTGTTCTCAATATCTTGTATGGCCACCATTAGAGTCCAAAACTGACTGGATCCAGGTCCAGTGGATGCAATCATATCCCGATATGTGGCCTGGGGAATGTTTACCCACTTTGCCTGCATCAATTTTCTAATATTTTAATACCATGAGTTTGATCCTATCTGATTAACTTAGGATGTGTAGTAAAGACATTACAAGCATGTAATATAAAAACATACTGGGTCAAAGACTTGATCACATATAGATTTTATCATGAATTTCATGAATCAGTCTTTTTCACTTATTTTAGCCAAACCTATGTATTCAGAATGTCAAAAGTCAAGAACATACGAGTACAAGCGCAATGAAGAAGAATAAACAAGTTATCAGCCATTTGAATAAATCTTACAAGTTTCAAATGTTTCTGTAAATTATAAAGTTCACATTTCCAGGGGGCCAAAATGGCCCTTATGGCACCCGATCCTTTCAACAGTGTACCACAATGGACAACAATGAATGTATAATGTATAACATTGTATGGCATTGATGTGTGGTTTTCCAATTGCTTCCCCAAGGCTAAAACTTTCACGTTGATCCTTTCATAAAAATCATTCACATAAGTAAATGAATTGTTTCTACAAAAGTGGTTAAACTACAGATGCAGACACATCTTCTGGTCTTAGAATAGGTCTTCAGCGGCCCATGTTTGTTGTAAGAAGCGACTAACGGGTGATGCATGTCATTGTATCCCAATTGCGTAGATTGATGCTCATGATGTCAGTCACTGTCAATGTTATGTATAAAATTTGAGATCATCTTAGTGCTAAGGTTGCTTTGTGCAAGTGGGTCTAGGTCTTGTGTTGATAGACCTAGGATTATAATCAGTATTTATCTGACATTTACTAACATGACAACAAATCCTTAGCTTTGTGGTTTTACATCACTGATGCTGATCTATCGAAGCCCCAGTATAATCTCCAAATCTTCCAATTCTGAGAGTTGCAACACGGTAAGATGAATTACCTTTTCCCTGTACATAACTCTCTCTCTCTCTCTCATTGCCATCTTCAACATTGCATAAGGAACTGTCGTGCGTTCGGCCATGCGCAACCCTGCTCCCTCTCAGTAACCTAGATGTCATTCCCCAATGATCTTTTCCCTCCCTCCAGTAGGTGATTTCTCTCCCTCCCCTAGATATTGACTCTGCCCTAGATGTTTTCCCTCCCTCCCCTAGATATTGACTCTGCCCTAGATGTTTTCCCTCCCTCCCCCAGATATTCACTCTTCCCTAGATGTTTTCCCTCCCTCCCCTAGATATTGACTCTGCCCTAGATGTTTTCCCTCCCTCCCCTAGATATCCACTCTGCCCTAGATGTTTTCCCTCCCTTCCCCAGATATTCACTCTTCCCTAGATGTTTTCCCTCCCTCCCCTAGATATTGACTCTGCCCTAGATGTTTTCCCTCCCTCCCCTAGATATTGACTCTGCCCTAGATGTTTTCCCTCCCTCCCCTAGATATTGACTCTGCCCTAGATGTTTTCCCACCCTCCCCCAGATATCCACTCTGCCCTAGATGTTTTCCCTCCCTCCCCTAGATATTGACTCTGCCCTAGATGTTTTCCCTCCCTCCCCCAGATATCCACTCTGCCCTAGATGTTTTCCCTCCCTCCCCTAGATATTGACTCTGCCCTAGATGTTTTCCCTCCCTCCCCCAGATATCCACTCTGCCCTAGATGATTTCCCTCCCTCCCCCAGATATTGACTCTGCCCTAGATGTTTTCCCTCCCTCCCCTAGATATTGACTCTGCCCTAGATGTTTTCCCTCCTTCCCCTAGATATTGACTCTGCCCTAGATGTTTTCCCTCCCTCCCCTAGATATTGACTCTGCCCTAGATGTTTTCCCTCCCTCCCCTAGATATTGACTCTGCCCTAGATGTTTTCCCCCCCTTCCCCTAGATATTGACTCTGCCCTAGATGTTTTCCCTCCCTCCCCTAGATATTGACTCTGCCCTAGATGTTTTCCCTCCCTCCCCTAGATATTGACTCTGCCCTAGATGTTTTCCCTCCTTCCCCTAGATATTGACTCTGCCCTAGATGTTTTCCCTCCCTCCCCTAGATATTGACTCTGCCCTAGATGTTTTCCCTCCCTCCCCTAGATGTTTTCCCTCCCTCCCCTAGATATAGATTTCACACAACAGATGTCCTTCTGCCCAAGGTGTCCTCCGTCCCCTAGATGTTTTCCCTCCCTCTCCCAAATGATTTCACACAACAGATGTCCTTCTGGCCAAGGTGTCCTCCGTCCCCTAGATGTTTTCCCTCCCTCTCCCAAATGATTTCACACAACAGATGTCCTTCTGGCCAAGGTGTCCTCCGTCCCCTAGATGTTTTCCCTCCCTCTCCCAAATGATTTCACACAACAGATGTCCTTCTGGCCAAGGTGTCCTCCCTCCCCTAGATGTTTTCCCTCCCTCTCCCAAATGATTTCACACAACAGATGTCCTTCTGGCCAAGGTGTCCTCCGTCCCCTAGATGTTTTCCCTCCCTCTCCCAAATGATTTCACACAACAGATGTCATTCTGGCCAAGGTGTCCTCCGTCCCCTAGATGTTTTCCCTCCCTCTCCCAAATGATTTCACACAACAGATGTCCTTCTGGCCAAGGTGTCCTCCCTCCCCTAGATGTTTTCCCTCCCTCTCCCAAATGATTTCACACAACAGATGTCCTTCTGGGCAAGGTGTCCTCCGTCCCCTAGATGTTTTCCCTCCCTCTCCTAGATGTTTTCCCACAACAGATGTCCTTCTGCCCAAGGTGTCCTCCCTCCCCTACACAATAGATGTCCTTCCACTCCAAGGTGTCCTTCCTCCCCAAGATGTTTTCCCTCCCTCTCCTAGATGTTTTCCCTCCCTCTCCAAGATGTTTTCCCACAACAGATGTCCTTCCACCCCAAGGTGTCCTCCCTCTCCAAGATGTTTTCCCACAACAGATGTCCTTCCACCCCAAGGTGTCCTCCCTCTCCAAGATGTTTTCCCACAACAGATGTCCTTCCACCCCAAGATGTTTTCCCACAACAGATGTCCTTCCACCCCAAGGTGTCCTCCCACACCGAGATGTTTTCCCACAACAGATGTCCTTCCACCCCAAGATGTCCTCCCACATCGAGATGTTTTCCCACAACAGATGTCCTTCCACCCCAAGGTGTCCTCCCTCTCCAAGATGTTTTCCCACAACAGATGTCCTTCCACCCCAAGATGTCCTCCCTCTCCAAGATGTTTTCCCACAACAGATGTCCTTCCACCCCAAGGTGTCCTCCCTCTCCAAGATGTTTTCCCACAACAGATGTCCTTCCACCCCAAGGTGTCCTCCCACACCGAGATGTTTTCCCACAACAGATGTCCTTCCACCCCAAGGTGTCCTCCCACACCGAGATGTTTTCCCACAACAGATGTCCTTCCGCCCCAAGGTGTCCTCCCTCTCCAAGATGTTTTCCCACAACAGATGTCCTTCTGCCCCAAGGTGTCCTCAAACACCAAGATGTTTTACGGACAGGAAGGAGAGATACGTTTCACAATATCCCCTCACTTCTGAGGGTCCACCGAATTACCACAGCCAACCCCAAAGTCCACAAATATAACATAACAACAAAATCTTTGCAGAGGTTTATTTTTGTGAGGGATGGTTCTTATAGTGATTGAAACATATGGTCACCATGGCAACAACAACCAGGTGACCGAGGCCAGTGAGAAGCAGTTTGGCACATCCAGATAGGTGAAGTGAATCATCGGAGGAAGGCAAACACTGTGGTGGTCCTCCTAGTGCAAGTGTACTCTGTCCCTCACACACGCCAGGTGAGCTTCAGTATATAACACAATCAGTGCATCTCCAGAACTCTCTTACAAAAAATCTTTAAGAAATCATCACCCATGCCATTATAATGGGCACAAGAGCACAAAGAGAAATTGTTCTTGAAACTTTAACTAACCATGTCTGCCATTAGTACAAAAGTCAAATTGTTTCCCAAAATTGTAAAAATATTTCAGCACTAGTATGTAAACAAATTGAATATTTATTTACCTGTAAGTTTGTAATTCTGAATATTAATCACAACCATGTGTGCATGTTCCCACAGCCCTGTTCCATAAAGTGATCTTAGCGCTAAGACAACTGTAAATATCTCAGGACATAGCTCTAAGATGAACGTAACTCCCATGCTTCAACACAGACTTACGAAGGGCCCTGTTCCATAAAGTGATCTTAGCGCTAAGACAACTGTAAATATCTCAGGACATAGCGCTAAGATGAACGTAACTCCCATGCTTCAACATGGACTTACGAAGGGCCCTGTTCCTATGGCCTGATGTGTGGAACATGACCCTAGTATTTTAGTCCTAAGATACCATGAGTATATTCTATATCAACTGCTGTATCTCAAAGGGTTGATTTTCAGAAAACTTACATAAAAGCTAGGAACCTGTGCTCATACAACTGGCCTAGAGAATAAATATGGTATTATGCAAAATATTAATACTTTATGGTCAAATATGGGAGTTATATCCACTGTTCTAATTTTGTATAGTGAAATATAAATATTGTAATGTATAAATTAAAATTGTTCCGAATAACCACTTTTTTTAGTTTAAGATGTCTTAATTAAGAAATTCGTGAAAGAGTAAGATCATGATATTATCAAACATGGTAAGTACACAGGAATATTACAAATCTGATTAAATGTCGCTGCAATAACATATTTAGATGAAAAAATAATGTAATAAATACAAAATAGTTACATATGGTATTATGTGCCTCATGGAAATGTCAATTGCTCTGTACATAGTGGATACATCCAATCAGAAACCAGGACACATATGATTGAACCATCATTATCAACAATCATCCAATCAAATATCAGAAGACAAAAGGCTAAGCAACATGCAAGGGGTCACCATGGTACCAGCCCTAGATCTCAGATAGGTGACATATGATTGGTAGCATTCATTATTGGTGGATGCTGATTGGATAACTCTGGACCAATCACTGTTGAGGTCGTGGCTAGTGACAAGTGCGTGACTGTTTACCCAGCCAAATATGGAAGTGTAATAACAAAGTGCCAATGCCAATCATTCCAGATGACTGACACCCACCATCACATTATACATGATATATCACAAAGTAGAAATACGCATCTCAGATAAACAAATACACATTTTCCGCAGTTCATGCATTCAACCCTTCAGAAAATCCACTGAGTAGACAATCATTAATTGTACAAATAAAACCAAATCATTAATCAAAGTCAACAGAAACATTCTGTAATATATCTAATATTAGAAACCAGTAATAATTGCTTTTAAAAAAACTGTATCAATATGGTTATGTTATCCCAAATTCTTGCAGTCGAATCATAAACACTTATCAATACAAATTACATAATGCATGATTCAGAAAATCAAAAAATCGAAAATGTTGTTTCTAGACGAGGAAAATATCAAAATGGGAATATGATACTGTTTGGAAAAATATTTCTGATTTTCTTTCTAGACTGAATTATAATCAACTACTGCAAGACGAAGAATAACAAGTTGGGTAACACACATTTTGGCTATATTACACTTAACGAGGCACTTGGTAGTGTTAAAATCATTATTCAGACATTAACAGTGCGCTAGGTACTGTATTCCTAGAGAATGAGGAATTGTCTTCATAAAATCATGGACATTTCAGACAGAGAGCTGCCTTATAATATTACTTGGGGTGGGAATACGGCTCGCACATCAGATCGACGTGACAAAAACCCGACGAGAACATGTGACAAGACTACACTACAGGCGAAGCCTTACAGACACATCAGCATATATAAACAAGTGCGATGCCTCGTTGAAATAGATCAATTTTGTAATTTAAGAACCAATCAACTGGTTGTCAGTTCTGATATACTATACGTATAAAATAGTAAAACTGTCAATACGCCAACCAAGATACCCTGGATGAAACATTGGCTAGAATAACAAATACAGCATAAATGACAGTCAGCTGTTCCAGGAGCATTTAATAAAAATAGTTTTTTTTTAAATGTTAAAAAATGGGTAAATCTTAAGTATTGAAAACCGGTGTTGAAATTGAATAAAATGGAGCTCCTTAAAGTCTGATACAACTTGAAGTCTTGCACCTCATCATTTACCAAAACGTCCCATCCTGATTAATGCTGAGTCAGCTCTATTTAAACTGGCAGGGAATCATAAAAAAAGAAAAACAGGGTTTTACCTAAACACGAAATAAGAAAATTAATGATAAAAAAACCATGCATGTTTTAAGGTTATAACTTTCAAAGTATTCACTGTCACAGGTTATACATAACTGATAAACATGAATAAACATGAATAAACATGAATAAATATCAACAAACAAACAACCATCGGAATTCACCCCCGTGTCACTGCTTGGGGGAAAGATGTGGAATGTCTGTCGAACAAGTCATCCATTGACACCCAACACACAGTTGCACAAGTTGCACATTATACAAAATAAAACACACAACAGGGAGCTGTACAGTTTATAAAACAGATAAACACCAATCAAAATTGTCATAAGAACCCCATCAAGGGGCAACAAGGAATTTGATTGGTTCTCTAAATGTAGGCTAATGGAAAAATATATTGCATATGGAACAGTGTTTCTCTTATGGTCCACGTATAGGCAATCACAGTTGAAAAAGGGAGGATCACGTGATCCTACCAAATATGTTCTTACTCCATTTAACCTGCATTCAGCTGTCAATATTTAGGAACGAGCTGTACGAATGCCAGTTGAGAAATTCATCACTTGTCAGCACACACACATAACACTGGAAGAGCACTGTGCTCCACCAGTCATAGCAGGTTTGGTTGCCATCTTTGGTTGAATGACCTTGTTGTCATGGTGATGGGGTCATAACCTTGATAACAGAGGTCAAAAGTTGAAGGTCATACTGCTGTTTCCTGATCCTCAGACACAACTAACTGGAAGTGTTCTTGGTCTGAAACATGTCAATACGTCATATATATATATATATATATCTTTTCAAATGTCACTGATCTCATCAATTTATCATCTTTGGTTGTGATACCTAGCTTGCATGTTGTTTGTGCACTTTTAGAAGTTATGAAATTTATCAGATGTGTGGCGATCGCTGGTGCATTTCAACAGTTACAAGTTTGGGACTTATTACAACCCTAAATGATTAAACAGTGTCAATCAATGATACAGCTCTTTATTCACTATGAGGTGAGGTGAGGTGAGGTGAGGTGAGGTGAGGTGAGGTGAGTTGAGGTGGTGTTTAATGTTGCATCCAAGATTATAGTGATGTGCATGCATGTGTGTGTGTTTGGCTGCTTGTACTAGTCGGGACTAATGCCAATTTTATAGTGCTTGCCCCTTAATGCCGAGGCAGGTTAACACCAAGTATCTTCTTTTAACGTCTTTTGGTACGACGTGGCGAGGGTTCGAACCCCGGACCTTCCACTCTCCAGGCGGACGCTCTACCACTAGACCACAGAGGCAGTCTTATTCAGTATTAAGGCATAGGCACACTGACATTTATGACATAAATTGGTAGCGGCATTAGCTAAATGATGGCGGCCTCAATAAGACAATCCAATGGCTGATATTATGAGCAACAAACCATACCGTCAGGGTATGATGACAAGCAATCAGCCAAGACGCTGAGTCTGACCACTCGGTCTACTAAGTCACCTCTTACGACCAGATCCCCCGGAGATGGTATGTAAGTCCATGTCATTCACAGTATATTTATTACTACCACGTTTTTAATCGCAGAATATATGTTCTTTTAATTCGGCTAAATTGACAATAATCGCCAACCAATGAAGGGATGGTGTAAATCCTGCTGGGGTCCATGCAGGTAGCAAAAGTACTGTAAGTCCCCATGGACCTTAGCGTGGTGATCTATCTTCAGTTGTTGGCGATCTATAGCCTGTTTTTATATATTTTTACATGCTCTCTAACTAGTTGTATGTAAATCTGTGATATTCTAGTTATTTTACTGCCCTTCGTCGGCAGAATTTTATACAGTTTAAAATATATTGTTAATGTCAAATTTTGTTTCGTCACGATATGGCTGAAATATTGCCGACGTGACGTTAAACTTTAACTCACTCACTCTTACAACCATCATAGGTTGCTGACGATGTATCCTAACCCAGGGTCCCAGTGGGGCAGCTATCACATAGAACTAAGCTGGCAACTGGTTGCCGTTGTCAGGGTATGAAATGACACACAGTCAGGCAAGGCAAACAAACTTGTGTTTCCGTGTTGTAAGTACAGGGATATAAAAAACATATATTTGCATCTTTTTCTAAATTGCAAAATTGGTCACAGAAACATTATGACCATGTGATTTAACATTTCCATGAACAAGAGAAATGGATGAGTTATCAGAAACACCATTACATCTTGGTATAGCCTTATGTGACAGGTGAGTGTGGTCAGCAGTCATTGTAGCCAACCAATACCCACTGCAGGCAACCAATACCCACTGCAGTCAACCAATACCCACTGCAGGCAACTGATACTCATTGTACCCAACCAATACCCATTGTAGCCAAATAATCTTATTGCAGGTAACTCATACCCATTGCAGGCAACCGATACCCACTACAGCCAACCAATACCCAATACAGCCAAGCAATACCCACTACAGCCAACCAATACCCACTACAGCTAAGCAATACTTATTGCAAGCAAGCAATACTCACTGCAGCCAACCAATACCCACTACAGCCAAGCAATACTTATTGCAAGCAAGCAATACCCACTACAGCCAACCAATACCCACTACAGCCAAGCAATACTTATTGCAAGCAAGCAATACCCACTACAGCCAACCAATACTCACTGCAGCCAACCAATACCCACTACAGCCAAGCAATATTTATTGCAAGCAAGCAATACCCACTACAGCCAACCAATACCCACTACAGCCAAGCAATACTTATTGCAAGCAAGCAATACTCACTGCAGCCAACCAATACCCACTGCAGCCAACCAATGCTTATTGCAGCCAACCAATACCTACTGTAGCAAACCAATACCCATTGTAGCCAACCAATACCCACTGCAGCCAACCAATACCCACTGCAGTCATCATTATTGACAAGCATGGGCTACGGACATATTCCCAAGATTCCAACACGGGACAACACAGACTACATAACTACCAGATGTAGTGCTGACATGTGCAACTGGGTGCTGAAATTTGGTGATACCTTTTAGGATGCTTTGGGATATTTGAACACATAGGCTGGGAGATGACAGTGAAAATATAACTATAAACTAACAGACACACAGACAGATAGAATGAGGAAGAAGACCCAAGACTTAAGGTCATTAAGACTAAATAGAGATTTGTTAAAAGCTTAATGCCGCACTAAGCAATATTCGAGCTATAGGATGGCGGGCTGTAAATAATCAGTATGGACAAGTCAATCCAGTGATAGATATTGTGAGCAACGATCCATGACGTCGGGTTACGATGACACAGTCTACCGAGTCACCGAGTCTGACCATCCTATCCATTACTTCGCCTCTTACGACAAGCACAGGTTGCTGGGGATCTAGTCTGACCCCACGGGATCAAAATATACAAAACTATTTCTAGTTACACTGTCGCTAAATGTGTGTTGGCTACAACTAAATAATCATGCAAGAACTTGGTGTGCCACAAAATTAACATACCAAACTCAAACCAACAAATTATACAGCAAGAGCATAAGAAGGGGGAATAAACATAACGACATTTGAAATAGGGGCACTATAGTAAGAGGCGGACATTATTGGAACATGCTAACTGGCAAAGCTGGGAATCAAGCAGGAGATAGCAGTCCTGTCAACATAGTACTGTCTGATCCATGACCTCACTGCATGTAGTGTCATCTGTCATTGGTCTGTGCTCCAGTTGGTGTCTTTTCACCTGTGTCTATTACTAGGTCAGTCAGTCAGCAAGGTGGTGTCTTGTCATCTGTGTCTGGTACTAGGTCAGTCAGCGAAGTGGTGGCTTTTCATCTGTGTCTAGTACTGGGTCAGTCAGCAAGGTGGTGTCTTGTCATCTGTGTCTAGTACTGGGTCAGTCTGTCAGCAAGGTGGGGTCTTGTCATCTGTGTCTAGTACTGGGTCAGTCAGCAAGGCGGTGTCTTGTCATCTGTGTCTAGTACTGGGTCAGTCAGTCAGCAAGGTGGTGTCTTGTCATCTGTGTCTGGTACTAGGTCAGTCAGTTAGCAAGGTGGTGTCTTGTCACCTGTGTCTAGTACTAGGTCAATCAGCAAGGTGGTGTCTTGTCATCTGTGTCTGGTACTGGGTCAGTCAGTCAGCAAGGTGGTGTCTTGTCACCTGTGTCTGGTACTAGGTCAGTCAGTTAGCAAGGTAGTGTCTTGTCATCTGTGTCTAGTACTAGGTCAATCAGCAAGGTGGTGTCTTGTCATCTGTGTCTGGTACTGGGTCAGTCAGCAAGGTGGTGTCTTGTCATCTGTGTCTGGTACTAGGTCAGTCAGTCAGCAAGGTGGTGTCTTGTCATCTGTGTCTGGTACTAGGTCAGTCAGTCAGCAAGGTGGTGTCTTGTCATCTGTGTCTGGTACTAGGTCAGTCAGTCAGCAAGGTGGTGTCTTGTCATCTGTGTCTAGTACTGGGTCAGTCAGTCAGCAAGGTGGTGTCTTGTCATCTGTGTCTGGTACTAGGTCAGTCAGTCAGCAAGGTGGTGTCTTGTCACCTGTGTCTGGTACTGGGTCAGTCAGAAAGGTGGAGTCTTGTCATCTGTGTCTAGTACTAGGTCAATCAGTCAGCAAGGTGGTGTCTTGTCATCTGTGTCTAGTACTAGGTCAGTCAGTCAGCAAGGTAGTGTCTTGTCATTTGTGTCTGGTACTAGGTCAGTCAGTCAGCAAGGTAGTGACTTGTCATCTGTGTCTGGTACTAGGTCAGTCAGTCAGCAAGGTAGTGTCTTGTCACCTGTGTCTAGTACTAGGTCAGTCAGTCAGCAAGGTAGTGTCTTGTCACCTGTGTCTAGTACTAGGTCAGTCAGTCAGCAAGGTAGTGTCTTGTCATCTGTGTCTGGTACTAGGTCAGTCAGTCAGCAAGGTGGTGTCTTGTCACCTGTGTCTAGTACTAGGTCAGTCAGCAAGGCGGTGTCTTGTCATCTGTGTGACTGGTACTAGGTCAGTCAGTCAGCAAGGTGGTGTCTTGTCACCTGTGTCTAGTACTAGGTCAGTCAGTCAGCAAGGTAGTGTCTTGTCATCTGTGTCTGGTACTAGGTCAGTCAGTCAGCAAAGTGGTGTCTTGTCACCTGTGTCTGGTACTAGATCAGTCAGTGAGCAAGGTGGTGTCTTGTCACCTGTGTCTGGTACTAGGTCAGTCAGTCAGCAAGGTGGTGTCTTGTCATCTGTGTCTAGTACTGGGTCAGTCAGTCAGCAAGGTGGTGTCTTGTCATCTGTGTCTAGTACTAGGTCAGTCAGTCAGCAAGGTGGTGTCTTGTCACCTGTGTCTAGTACTAGGTCAGTCAGTCAGCAAGGTAGTGTCTTGTCACCTGTGTCTAGTACTAGGTCAGTCAGTCAGCAAGGTGGTGTCTTGTCATCTGTGTCTAGTACTGGGTCAGTCAGTCAGCAAGGTGGTGTCTTGTCACCTGTGTCTAGTACTAGGTCAGTCAGTCAGCAAGGTAGTGTCTTGTCACCTGTGTCTAGTACTAGGTCAGTCAGTCAGCAAGGTGGAGTCTTGTCATCTGTGTCTAGTACTAGGTCAATCAGTCAGCAAGGTGGTGTCTTGTCATCTGTGTCTAGTACTAGGTCAGTCAGTCAGCAAGGTAGTGTCTTGTCATCTGTATCTGGTACCAGGTCAGTCAGTCAGCAAGGTAGTGTCTTGTCATCTGTGTCTGGTACTAGGTCAGTCAGTCAGCAAGGTGGTGTCTTGTCATCTGTGTCTAGTACTAGGTCAATCAGTCAGCAAGGTAGTGTCTTGTCATCTGTGTCTGGTACTAGGTCAGTCAGTCAGCAAGGTAGTGTCTTGTCATCTGTGTCTGGTACTAGGTCAGTCAGCAAGGTGGTGTTTTGTCATCTGTGTCTGGTACTGGGTCAGTCAGAAAGGTGGAGTCTTGTCATCTGTGTCTAGTACTACGTCAATCAGCAAGGTGGTGTCTTGTCACCTGTGTCTGGTACTGGGTCAGTCAGAAAGGTGGTGTCTTGTCATCTGTGTCTAGTACTGGGTCAGTCAGTCAGCAAGGTGGTGTCTTGTCATCTGTGTCTGGTACTAGGTCAGTCAGTCAGCAAGGTAGTGTCTTGTCACCTGTGTCTAGTACTAGGTCAGTCAGTCAGCAAGGTGGTGTCTTGTCACCTGTGTCTGGTACTGGGTCAGTCAGAAAGGTGGTGTCTTGTCATCTGTGTCTAGTACTGGGTCAGTCAGTCAGCAAGGTGGTGTCTTGTCATCTGTGTCTGGTACTAGGTCAGTCAGTAAGCAAGGTAGTGTCTTGTCACCTGTGTCTAGTACTAGGTCAGTCAGTCAGCAAGGTGGTGTCTTGTCACCTGTGTCTGGTACTGGGTCAGTCAGAAAGGTGGTGTCTTGTCATCTGTGTCTAGTACTGGGTCAGTCAGTCAGCAAGGTGGTGTCTTGTCATCTGTGTCTGGTACTAGGTCAGTCAGTCAGCAAGGTAGTGTCTTGTCACCTGTGTCTAGTACTAGGTCAGTCAGTCAGCAAGGTAGTGTCTTGTCATCTGTGTCTGGTACTAGGTCAGTCAGTCAGCAAGGTGGTGTCTTGTCACCTGTGTCTAGTACTAGGTCAGTCAGCAAGGCGGTGTCTTGTCATCTGTGTGACTGGTACTAGGTCAGTCAGTCAGCAAGGTGGTGTCTTGTCACCTGTGTCTAGTACTAGGTCAGTCAGTCAGCAAGGTAGTGTCTTGTCATCTGTGTCTGGTACTAGGTCAGTCAGTCAGCAAAGTGGTGTCTTGTCACCTGTGTCTGGTACTAGATCAGTCAGTGAGCAAGGTGGTGTCTTGTCACCTGTGTCTGGTACTAGGTCAGTCAGTCAGCAAGGTGGTGTCTTGTCATCTGTGTCTAGTACTGGGTCAGTCAGTCAGCAAGGTGGTGTCTTGTCATCTGTGTCTAGTACTAGGTCAGTCAGTCAGCAAGGTGGTGTCTTGTCATCTGTGTCTAGTACTAGGTCAGTCAGTCAGCAAGGTAGTGTCTTGTCACCTGTGTCTAGTACTAGGTCAGTCAGTCAGCAAGGTGGTGTCTTGTCATCTGTGTCTAGTACTGGGTCAGTCAGTCAGCAAGGTGGTGTCTTGTCACCTGTGTCTAGTACTAGGTCAGTCAGTCAGCAAGGTAGTGTCTTGTCACCTGTGTCTAGTACTAGGTCAGTCAGTCAGCAAGGTGGAGTCTTGTCATCTGTGTCTAGTACTAGGTCAATCAGTCAGCAAGGTGGTGTCTTGTCATCTGTGTCTAGTACTAGGTCAGTCAGTCAGCAAGGTAGTGTCTTGTCATCTGTGTCTGGTACTAGGTCAGTCAGTCAGCAAGGTAGTGTCTTGTCATCTGTGTCTGGTACTAGGTCAGTCAGTCAGCAAGGTGGTGTCTTGTCATCTGTGTCTAGTACTAGGTCAATCAGTCAGCAAGGTAGTGTCTTGTCATCTGTGTCTTGTACTAGGTCAGTCAGTCAGCAAGGTAGTGTCTTGTCATCTGTGTCTGGTACTAGGTCAGTCAGCAAGGTGGTGTCTTGTCATCTGTGTCTGGTACTGGGTCAGTCAGAAAGGTGGAGTCTTGTCATCTGTGTCTAGTACTACGTCAATCAGCAAGGTGGTGTCTTGTCACCTGTGTCTGGTACTGGGTCAGTCAGAAAGGTGGTGTCTTGTCATCTGTGTCTAGTACTGGGTCAGTCAGTCAGCAAGGTGGTGTCTTGTCATCTGTGTCTGGTACTAGGTCAGTCAGTCAGCAAGGTAGTGTCTTGTCACCTGTGTCTAGTACTAGGTCAGTCAGTCAGCAAGGTGGTGTCTTGTCACCTGTGTCTGGTACTGGGTCAGTCAGAAAGGTGGTGTCTTGTCATCTGTGTCTAGTACTGGGTCAGTCAGTCAGCAAGGTGGTGTCTTGTCATCTGTGTCTGGTACTAGGTCAGTCAGTCAGCAAGGTAGTGTCTTGTCACCTGTGTCTAGTACTAGGTCAGTCAGTCAGCAAGGTGGAGTCTTGTCATCTGTGTCTGGTACTAGGTCAGTCAGTCAGCAAGGTGGTGTCTTGTCACCTGTGTCTAGTACTAGGTCAATCAGCAAGGTGGTGTCTTGTCACCTGTGTCTAGTACTAGGTCGGCCAGCAAGGTAGTGTCTTGTCACCTGTGTCTAGTACTAGGTTGGCCAGCAAGGTGGTGTCTTGTCATCTGTGTCTAGTACTGGGTCAGTCAGTCAGCAAGGTGGAGTCTTGTCATCTGTGTGTAGTACTAGGTCAATCAGCAAGGTAGTGTCTTGTCATCTGTGTCTAGTACTAGGTCAATCAGCAAGGTGGAGTCTTGCATCTGTGTCTAGTACTGGGTCAGTCAGTCAGCAAGGTGGTGTCTTGTCATATGTGTCTAGTACTGGGTCAGTCAGTCAGGAAGGTGGTCTTGTCATCTGTGTCTAGTAACGGGTCAGTCAGTCAGGAAGGTGGTCTTGTCATCCGTGTCTAGTACTAGGTCGGCCAGCAAGGTAGTTCTTGTCACCTGTGTCTAGTACTGGGTCTGTCAGCAAGGTAGTGTCTTGTCACCTGTGTCTAGTACTGGGTCTGTCAGCAAGGTAGTGTCTTGTCAACTGGGTCTAGTACTGGGTCTGTCAGCAAGGCAAGGTGGTGTGAAGGCAACAGAAAAGTGCAGAGTGAGAACACTTACTTACTCTGGAGGTAGGCCGCCAGGTCCTTGTCTTCGGCCTTCTGGGCCTGCTGCTGGGGTGTGTTGCCCTGTTCAGAGTGAGTGAGTGAGTCAGTGGGCTTAAAACTGCTTTTAACAATATTCCTGTTATATCATGACATCATCAGTATAGATACAGATTTATACCATGATTTTGAAAATAACTTGATTCTAATTGGTCAATCAGAGGTTATCTATTCACAATAACCACCCTCTGATTGAAACTGCCGATGTGACAGCCGTGAAAGCTGATATTTACAGAATATGAATTGAGTGTTCTGTTCCAAATTTATTTTGGTGCAGTTAAATCTACAGGCAACCTAGCTCTACACTAAAAACACAGTATGTTTATCTCCTAATTAATACATCTTTCATTCCAACTAGGCATGTCAGTATCAGAAATATAAGTTGTTTTAGTAATAATATTCATTCTAACAGTTTATTGTAAAATATATGAGTTGCACCTTTCACCCTTTCACTAACCTATAACCAATTCTTTGTATGTGAGACACTACCTACTGGGCTAACCCAAGACTGAGAAGGAAGTAGGACTTTGGATGAGTGCGTGAATTTGATTTAATGCCATTTTTAACAGTATTCCAGTTATACCACAGTCTGTCAGCTGTGGGAGAAAAGCCGAAGTGCGCAGATATTTATCACTTTAGTGAAACCTACAAGCACGGGTATTGTGCTTATCAACCAAGAAATATAATTGTGGTGATTCGCTTGTCCAAGGGATGCAACTCTGCACAGCGAATTACAGCACCTTGAGACGACTGGGCCACATGTACTCGCAGATGGACCTTGAGAACTGCCACTATCAAACATAAAGGAGACTTGCCAACCTGGGCTCTTTCAACAAGGCAATCTTAGAGTTAGACTATTGTTACTCTCATAATTTAACATATCTTAGACCATCTTAGCAATAAGATCACTTATCACCCAGGATGCCGTTGTACAAAACTGTCGTAAGTTCGCTCTGTACAACGGCACCCTGGGTCATAAAGTGATCTTAGTGCGATGATGATCGTAAGCCATGTTAAAGTATGGGAGTTAAGATTGTCTTAGCACCAAGATCGATTTGTGGAATACAGCCCTGGGCCATAAGCTGCCATCTCGACTCTTGAAACCCAACCTAAATGATACGCCTGGCGAAAGGCACCCCCCACACTAAACAGGATATTCTGACCATTTCCTGGCAATCTTGTTACAATGTTACAGTTACATCCCAATTATTTTGACCATGTTACAGTTATGTAACCTGACTCTAGACTTGGACTAGACCATGTCTCTAACCCTGCACTGTCGGTGAAGCTATAGCTCACCTGATAGTCTGTCCTGGTGAGGGAGGCACCTGCGTCCACTAACATGTGACATATCGTCCTCCGCTGGTACCACGCCGCCTTGTGGAGGGCAGTCTGACCTCTGCAACAGGTCAAGCACTTAGCATCTCTCTAGTCATGTACTGTATTTGATGACTTACATTATCTCTTTAATTGTGAAATGCAAACCTCAGCCATTTTCCAGCAATATCACAACTGTCTGTGACATGCATCAACGAAGTCGCCTCTCACAACAAGCATAGTTGCCTTTGACGGCAAGCATGGGTTGCTGAAGACCTATTCTACCCCGGATCTTCACGGGGGAGGCAAGCATGCATTGCTGAAGACCTTTTCTACCACGGATCTTAACGGTGGAGGCAAGCATGGGTTGCTGAAGACCTATTCTACCCTGGATCTTCACAGGGGAGGCAAGCATGGGTTGCTGAAGACCTATTCTACCCTGGATCTTTACGTGTCAACTGGCTGTGCAGTGGGCCACACTTACATGTTAATTATGTTTGCTATAGCATTATTGGCCACCACAGTGGTACATGGAGGTTACAGGTTGATTGAAGCTGTGTCAAATATCACAATCATCAGCAAAACATAAATCATCATTGGGCAAAGAACATACTGCATGTGAAATGTCATTAAGATACATGCAGAAATGGCAGAGTTAGGTGCAAAAATGACTTTCTATTAAATTTAGTTGCCATGTTGTCCATATTTAAATCAGATCCGAATACTGTGAGCATATTTAAGAGTTACCATTACTGGGATAATTTACACAAAATTCCGCTTCACAAACAAGAGGTTTTAGAGGAGACGATGAAAACACTAGAAAAGTGGGTGTCATTTGTGAAGGTCAAAATATGTGAAAAATGTATCATATGTTATCCCACACAGCTAATACTTTATACAGTTTACCCCTGCACAGCATAAACCTACTACATATGCAATATCATAATGATCCATGCAGAAATGGCTGACTAAGGGTTAAAATTGACATTGTATATTGACACATGGCTGGCAAGAAAAAACATGTTTAAAATCAGACCAGAATTATTTAAGCAACTATCAGAAACACCACAGCTGGGAGCGCCCATGCAAAGTCTCGGCTTCACTGCGTTATAGTTTCAGATGAAATATCGGTAAGTAAAATGTAACAACGGAAATCAGTCCATGACATACGTTCTTTTGACATTTAGCCAGGTGAGCTTAACATGCACATATTAACACTTGGCAACTTACTTCTCATGGTCAATCATATCTAATATCACAGGTGGTGCTGCAAGACACAAGAAAAGAATAAGAAATCAGTTTCATTTCAAATTGAAAGTACTACAAAACACTCAAGCAGTAGTATCTTAACACTGAATAAATCAAGTCATAGTTTTCACTGGATAATAATTGGATCTATGAACCTGCATACAATAGTTACTCTATAAAACATGTAAACAAACATCTCTACAATTGGAATGGTCACGTTAAAGATGATTGACTTAGGGTAATCACATCATGGCGTTACCGTTCTCAATTAAGAACTTGACAATTCCTTTGTGACCGAAGCGGGCAGCGTGGTGAAGCGCGGTCATCCCGTACTGGTCAGTGGCTAGAAGCTCTCCGCCACGCTGGTATATCTCCAGCAACTGCAACACAAACACAAAACACTCATTGTTTCCATTTCCGAGTTTCATCTCCCTATGTCATAACAACACCTTCACTTGGAATCATTTCCTTTGATTGTTGTTTAACGCCGCACTCAACAACATTTTCTTGAAATCTTTGCGAGTTTGAAAATGTATATTTTAGATAAGTAAAACACTCTTGAACTGGACATATGAACAAGAAAATGCATTGGATTTTAATGGTGTCAGATCTGTTGACTTCCATGCAACCAAATTCTATGTTTAGCAGTTGTGACTCCAGCTAAAAATAAACAAATTTCTACATTCTACTCCTCATTTTGATCTCTAAAAACTTGGCATAAGCCCATCAAATAACATGGCAACTGTTCTGGCCATGGTGCTTCACTTGTAACAGCAACAGATCTGAGCCTGAATCATATATCTTACAAGTCTGGCTCCAAAAGAGTGAGTGAGTGAGTGAGTTGGGTTTAACGCCGCTTTTAACAGTATTCCAGTTATATCAGGGCGTGTCAGCTTAATGTGGGAGGAATGCCCGAAGTGATGCAGGTCTTAGACGTTTACCACTTCGGTGAAACCCACGAGCACGGGTATGGTGCTGACAAACCTAGAAACATAATCGGGGCGAACCGGGATTTCTAACCCACAATCATAGGTTTTTGGCGTGCCAAAGGGGGATGCAACTCTGCACAGCGAATCGGGGCGCCTTAGACGACTGGGCCACCCGTGCCCCCTGGCTCCAAAAGAAATACTGATTCCTACAATATTGTAGTGCATAGTGCATGGAATATAATGCTAGGAGCCAGATGGCTGGAAAATATCAAACTTTGAGGGCTGACCAGGAAGGTGAGCTACAGAGAGATCACATGACCTACCTTCTGAATCTCCCCTCGCTTAGAGGCATCAATGAGAGCTGAAAATGAGAGCAAAAATTAAAAAAATAATAAATAATAATTGTGTCTTATCATGCATCTTTCTAGGACCCTTCTGCTAGCGTGAGGGGTTCAAGACATAAATAAGGCTGTAAGGCTACAATGAATTAATTCTGACATTTTCATCCAAGTGTTTCAGTTGTCAAGCAGAGGCATTACGGTATATATTTGTTTTCAAACCAACTGTTCAAGGCATCTTTGTACATTAGGTGTCGCTGTTGTGTCACATGGTGCACAAATATCTGGTAGAGCAATGCACAACTGTACATGGTGTATTTTATCTAGGAAATACAAAAGTGAATACACATAGCAACTTTCCGTCCTGAGAAATTTGGGAAATATACAATCACGTGAGGTATTTACAGTAGGATGTTTGAGGATGAAAATAAATTAGTCTGGCATTGTATTTAACTAATTTACATTTGTCTAGCGGTGTAATGGTGTGGGTTCTTCCCTCAGCGGCTGCGGTGGCACTCGACACCGTCGTGAAGTGAATATGCTTCGCTTCCGCCACAGGGGAGTTGGGGGATCCTGGCTCTGAACTGAAAAAACCGTCACTGAACATTGAAAACACACATTGTCTTATGTTAATGGATAAACACAAAACAGTGAATTAATAATAGGAGTTAACAAACAATTTAAAATATCACATTAAGAAATGGTAAAAGTTCTAAAGGTATGAGATACTGTATGAAAAATCAAGAAACATTAATGTTTGACAACAGTCAATAGAAACAATTCTAAAAATTAATAGTTTATTTTGACGCACTTTCATGTTCAAATTGGTCTCATTCTTATTAGAAATGAACAACCTTTAGTTTATGTATTGTAAATCTTGACACATATATGGGCATATGACACAGAGGAGTATTGAAGCTAGTCATGTTCATGCCGTTCAAGCAGAAATAGAGCCACAAACACGAGGCATGCAGAACACGTCACCAAAATCAAAATACAACTACACAGAAATTACAGGAAATGTATGAGAAACTTTACAAGATCCAACTTGAGAAGCAAAATACAGCAGACAGGAATATGATAGCAGCACAGGTCTACAGACGGCAGAAGCATGTCAGAGCAGGAGGGTCAAGTAGCGCGCATACCATAAACAATTACTTGCTTGACATGTCAACATTTCATTGAAATTAAGAAATGGTTGTGAAGCTTGATTTGGAATCTAATTTCTTTTTGACAAAATATCAAATAAAACTTCACTTTCCAGTTCTATGGATCAAAGTATACAAGAACATTTCCCACAAGGAAACTATTGGGGTGATGGCGGAGGGGGAGTTTTCATTTGATAAAGTTTGTTGGACAATGGAGCAATGGACAACAGATAGGAAGAGGCACTAGGAAGAGGCACTAGAACCTCCTTAGATGTGAGTAAATCTGGTGGAAATTGTCATGAAAGTTATCATATGTGTTCATGGTATGAGAAGTTGACTTTGTTCATTTCAAAACTTGCATGTTTTCGACTGATGACAACCCAAAATCTATAGGGTATAGTTGTGTCAAAAAGGTTGATTGAAAGGTTTTCAGGAAATGATGTCCTAATATTTGAACGTGAGGAAGTCCCTCAGGTCACGAAGTTGCTCATGGCTACGAATTTCTCCTGAAATAAGAAAAATGAACACTTCTCTCATTTTACCCATGTAGCAGTAAGGATATGTTAGTTGTCCACCGTTTGAACATAGTCAATAACTTTCTCACCGATATCTCAAATTTTATTGTAAATAGTGTTTTTGTCATTTCCAGAGGGCCCAAAAAGGTTGTTATCTTACCTCGTCCTTTATTGCCTAAACACCCTAACTTATTCCTGATATTACTGCATTGTCTCTTGTGACCACCATTACAGTTGTAAAGGTAGGCAGAGACACTGTTTTCAATAATTACTGTAAATCGTGAAATTTATGCGAGCATGAATTAAATGCAAAAAATGGTAGTGGTCTTTGCTCGCATTGATTATACATATATTATATCTCGAAATGACTATCAACAAAAAGATGGCCTTACTTCACATTTTGGATAGCAGATACACCAACTTGGACATAAAAGTAAATTTATATTGAGTTTCAGTTTTTGCTTGGGGCCAGGAGTCGCATTAATATGGAAATGCATTATTACAAGATTTACAGTAGTTGTTTTCAATAATGTTGAAATGTTTCCTTGATTCTGCTGACAAAGCATCTTTACAGCCCACACCCTGGATGCAGTAAGCCATGCCACCTCAAGCCGTGTGTCAACCACAACAACGTCAACACTTGTGTATGTGGAGAATCTCAAACCGAAGCAAATCTTCTATGTCCCATAGATGTGCATGTTGATGTGTTCTCAAGTGAGTGAGTGACTTGGGTTTAGTGCTGCTTTCAGTAATGCAGTCCTATAAGGTCCTGAAGGATCTACACCCCTCCTCTGTATATATCCTACCAGTGGTTGGTTGGTTGGTTTGTTGTTTAACGCCGCACTCAGCAATATTCCAGCTATATGACGGCGGTCTGTAAATAATCAAGTCTGGACCAGACAATCCAGTGATTAATATCATGAGCATCGATCCACGCAATTGGGATCGATGACATGCATCAACCAAGTCAGTGAGCCTGACCACTAGATCCCGTTAGTCGCCTTTTCCGACAAGCATAGTCACCTTTTACGGCAAGCATAGGTTGCTGAAGACCTATTCTACCCCGGAATCTTCACGGGTCGTATCCTACCAGTGATAATAATCGACGTGACATAGGGTGTCATACCGGTAACAATATGAACAGACTGTGGCACATAAACAGTGAAAAGCAGAACATTAGACCACTGGACCACCCACACCCCTTAAGTACGACTCTGCATTGAACTCAGATACACTATAATCCATATAATGAGTGAGTATGATTTTACACTGCTTTTAGCAATATTCCAGCACTATCACAGTGGGGGACACCAGAAATGGGCTTCAAACATTGTACCCATGTGGGGAAACGAACCTGGGTCTTCAGCGTTATGAGCGATTGCTTTAACCACTGGGCTACTCCACTAACCTACATGATGAAGGCTGGGGGACAGGTCTCCCTTACAGACCCAGAACATATATTTAATAAAACACTTCCCATTCCATTCCCAACCCCTCTAGGAGACAGTACCCATTAAATTAAAGAGACTTGAGGGTTCCTTAATACTGATTCCTTAAAGAGTTATCTATATTTACACCTATACCTTATTTCGGGTCAAGTCTAGGGGTCAAGAGATATTCAGCTATTTACCCAAAGTTTGCTATCTGTTTCAAATTAAGTTTTACTCATGGGAAACAATTAAAATTAATTGCAACAAAAAGAGATTTGAACCATTTATCAGCGGATTGTGGCATGGCCAAGGGAGGCAACTCTGTACCTTAGACTACTGGGCTACTGTAGCATTAGTTCAAGATGCATAGTTCTAGGATTGGGAATTGGCAGAACTAGTGATTGAGGGACACCAGAAATGGTAAGCCTGTGGAGAATTTAACTCAGGCTTTTGGTGTGATGAGCAAACAATGTTGCTTGTCTTTTTTATAACACTACACTCAGCAATATTCTAACTACATGCGGACAGCCTGTATATAATCCAGACAATCCAGTGCTCGAAATTGTGAGCAACAATCCACACCATGGGGATATGATGTCAATCAACCAAGCCACCGAATCTGACCACCCGATCCAGTTGGTTGCCTTCCAAGACCTGCATAGGTTGGTGGGACCTATTCTATGCCGAAATACCTACAGGGGATAACAAGCCTGAGGTACTGGAGACATTCATTCTGACCCCTAATCCTTACAGGATGTACACTGATGGAGCCTTGTTCAAGTCCAGGACCCAATGCCCATCGCCTCTTGTGATGGGCAACAAATACGTAACTGGCTATCCTGCCCCAACAAGTGAGGGTGGACATTTATACTGCAGTAGATACAGTTCCAGATATATCACAGCGGCCATTAAATAATCTAGTCTGACTCAAACAAACCCGTGGCTGACAGCATGAGCAATTATCAATGCTGTCAGGAAGGTGGCACATTGTAACCACTTGGCTCTTACAAGCATGGGCTACTGTATTGAGGAATCCCATGGGGACATTGGACAATCCAGCCAATCAGATGGGAGTCATGGATATATCAGTTAATCAGATGAGACTAATGGATGTATCAGCCAATCAGACTGGAGTCATGGATATATCAGCCGATCAGATGCTTCTATTAACCAATGACATATAGACTAATTCTAAAATAAGAGATATTGGTAGGTTCATAAACTTTGGTAGCAGTTTGAGGACAAGTATTTATGCCTCGTCCACACACTACCAAAAGTACTACCCATACACTGCGGCCATTGTGACCATCTAATCTCCATTTCATCAACGTTTTCTGAAACACTTGTGAAGAAGATACTGTTTGATGCCACAGTCAGCAATATTCCAGCTACATAACAGCAGCCTGTTAGTGTTCAAGTCTGGACCAGGCAAACCAGTCGTTGAAAAAATGAGCAACTACTGAGGCAGTCAGGGTATGACATCCCACCATCAGCCAGGGACGCCATTGTAGCCACCTAATCCTCACTGAGTCTGTTGTGTCTGTTTGTTTGCACTCAGCAATATCAAGCTATATGACAGCTGCCTGTAAGTAAACTCAGGACTAGTCAATCCAGTGATTGATATAATGAACAACGATCAAAGCAGGGGACACACATTCCATTAAGTAACCTGGAATCCCCATAGAGTTTGACTTAAACGACAATGACAGGGTACTGGAACAGACTCAGCCCTGGAGAGACACACTGACTTGTGGGTAATGCTGGATTCTGGGTAATGCTGAATTATGGGTAACACTGGGAACAACACAGAGATGAAAGTATCCACATCATGAGAAGAGGGGTCAAAGGTTACAATAGGAAAGTCGACAACATGGGGGGAGAGGTTTCACAATATTCTCAATGACACAGTTACTTCTAAAATTCTTCATTTCAGCACGGTAAAAACAAGAAGTTCTACCATTTACCGTGGATCATAAACTAACTTTGCCTCTTAAGAACTTTCATTGGCTAAAATCAAAATCTCAGTAGAAATAATAAAGATACAGATTTTGTTATAATATCTACAAGACTGTTAACTGAAACAAAAATTCCTACACTATGCAAACACTAGACAGGCATTCTAAAATTAAATTCTGTACATTAGTGTGATAATTAAAGAAACCGACAAGGCAATTAATTTTAGATAACACATTCTAATGGGCACTAGTTACTTTCACCACCGTAAAAGTAGACAATATAATCTCTATAGGAAACCGTGCAACATGAGATATGACATTGTGTATTGTAAGCACCGTACACACACCACCTACATCAACATGGGTGCCTACAGAGTACCATTTCTCCGCACAAGTCTGTACATGCCATCCCATGCCTATCACAATATCATCTCAGCTACTGAGGAATAACCAAAAAAGTTTCAAGATTGATAAAAATTATCATTTCAAATAAATGCCTTATTAGAAATATTGATAAATTATGTCTAGTTGTTTTTTCATTATATTTTTTTTTTATCAAAGATGGTACTGTATATAGTTCATGGTGTGGTATGACACGAAGTGAGAGAGAACTGTGGGAAGGTAGCCATTTTGTTTTGTGCGGACCTGTTATTGGAGCCTGGCGGGGGCGGTACAAGTAGGTTCTCTGTGCTTTCCGGGCGTTGCAAGGGCAATATTTCAGGGCATCTGAGCACATCAGTAAAAGGCAATATCAGTGAATGTGTTCAAGTGATAAACACACTTATTAATCAATCATGAGCCAACAAAAGCAGTCAACATTCAAAAACAAAACACACTGTGCAGTTTGCTCTGTGAATTACACAGTCATAGATTTGAACATTTCTCCATTCTATTTTACTTCTTTGATGTTGATAATAAATGTTCTTTCATTATTAGAAATTAAAATACTGTCGCTGAAGGCAGTTAATTAATTGAAAGTAAACACATCAACTAAACATGGCAAATTAAATAATGAAATTAAATATCTCAAATATACACTGCACTTTCTGAAACCCTTTATTGAAGTTCAGCGATTTATAATTCAAGAAAATATAATCATTGCCATCCTAACCATCCCAAATCCTTAAAATGTTTACATTGTAAAATTGAAATCATTGAATACGTTTTTTCTAAAAATGATTCAGAGGGAATAACTTCTAACACTAATCAACATGACCTATTGACCCATACATTTGTTATTTCACACTCAGCTAAGGCCACAACAAAATAATTATTTGTATTTAAGAAATCTTTGAATCATAATATATTTACATGCAGGTTTTCCAATCACTCTCTAAGCCTCAGCAAGAACTTAACTTCTTATCCAAATTATTCCGTCTATTTATGAGATATTTACATACCAAAACCGAACATATAAGCCATCTTCAGTCTTGGAAAGCAATAATTATTGTCATACAAAAGTTTTCAATAATAAAAAATAAATTCCTCCTTATCCACACTTTTAGAAGACGATTTGTGGAACAAATAATAAAACTTGTTGTGGCCTTATATCTAGGTTATCTCTAAGTGGAGGACTGAACTTTGAAATTACAAGAGTGAGTGAGTGAGTGAGTAGAGTTTCATGCCGCGTTTGGCAATATTCCAGCCCTATGACGGCAGGGGAGACCAGAAGGGACTGATATATTGTACCCATGTGGGGAATTGAGTGAGTGAGTGAGTATGGTTTTACGCCACTTTTAGCAATATTCCAGCAATATCACGGCGGGGGACACCAGAAATGGGCTTCACACATTGTACCCATGTCGGGAATCGAACCCGGGTCTTCGGCGTGACGAGCGAACGCTTTAACCACTAGGCTACCCGACCGCCCCTGTGGGGAATTGAACACTGGTCTTCAGCAGCCAATGTTTTAACCACTGGGCTGCCCCACCTCCCTTGAGCAAGCAAGGGCAGGCGATACAGACATATAGTGGAACACAGAGACTATATAAACTTTAATTTACACATGAAAAACAGATGGAAATATTAAAGAAGAAAAGATTATACTTAATTTAGAAAAAATGCTTTGAGTAAAGAATTCAGACATAAAAATGCTTTCAACTTTAGGAGATTGTATAAATGATGGAATCATTCAATTAATAGCTAGCATTGCATAACATGTATTGTTGAGAAGTGGGCGAGGGAATTATTGGTAAAGAAAGCAAACAGCAGTCTGAATACTAAGAGGTAGCTTAGCCCCTCAAAGTCTTAGCATGAACTCAAAACAGAAACAAAATATCAATTAAATAATGAATTCATAAATCTATTAAAATCAAATGAAAATAATTTATATTCATTTTTCATTATTGTTATTAATCAAATTACATTATAAGTCTACCTGTATCTCCCTATGAATATGATAATCAAAAATTAAATAATTTCAGGAGCTAGAAATTTAGTTTTGATCGGGTTAAATGTTACTGAAAATATATTTGGAGACTGGGCTCTATGCTTGACATGTGTATTTCTAGTCTAGGAGAGTGAACTATTCATGTGTTTGTGAGTGTGAGGAGGAGTTATCTCCCCTGGACCAGACTTGAGAGGTGCTAAACTGGCAGAAAATAAGCTGCAAATATCATGGACCTGGATTTTGCCGTGTAGCGGCTACGGTCAAAGCTCTTCATTCTCTCGGAGTGGGAATATGAGATTTTCTTGTTTTTCCTCCTGTTTAGATGGAAAGAAGGAGTGATTCTGATCAAAGATGTCAAGGTGGAGCAGGAAAACTAGTACTTAAAGACCTTCGACAGATTTGAAGTCCTTTGCCAATAGATTGATACACTGATTACGATAAGAAAATATATTAGTAGCTATAAAAAATAATGCAATAGTAACATCTGACATTAGGATTGTTATGATGTTGATTGGATGAATTAGATGAACTAGATTGGTTTCTTGGCTTACTGACAGTCAACTCCGCATATAATCAAGTGAGTGAGTGAGTTGGGTTTAATACTGCTTTGACTTGGGTGAGTGAGTGAGTGAGTATGGTTTTATGCCGCTTTTAGCAATATCACAGCAGGGGACACCAGACATCACACATTGTACCCATGTGGGGAATAGAACCTGGGTCTTCGGCGTGACGAGCGAAAACTTTAATCACTAGGCTACCCCACAGCCATGCTTGGACTCGGAACAGTATTTCAGTGATATCAAGTCATGCCAGCTTAATGTGAGGGGGAAGTGAAACCCTTAGAATCACTTTAAAAAAACCTAGAATCACTTTAGGGTGAATCTGGACGAGGGGATGTTTAGTAAGTACAGTAAACTACGGTTATAACAAACTCAAATAGGTCACTAAATTTAGTTTGCTATAATCGTAGTTCATTTTCAGCATATATACAGCAAAAGGCTGGGACTAAAAAACAAACAGTTTGTTATATCCGTCAGTTCGCTATAAGCGTGTTCGTTATAAACGTAGTTAACTGTATGTGAGGGTCAGCGGCCTTGAACAGAATTTATTCATGTCGTGACATGTCAGGACATGTCGAAGTGATTCAAGTTGTAGACTTTTACCACTTGGTGAAACCCAGGGGTTTCCAAAGATATTAATCTGGGAACACAGCCAAGGGACATAACTCTTCATTGCAAATTATTGGATCCTAGACCACTGAGTCAGGAGCCCACTTGTGAAGTGATCGTAGCACTACAACTGTTGAAAGTCTGTAGGACAGTCCTCGCTCATGATCACTTTGTGAAACAGGATCCAGATTTATTAAGGTGATTTCAATGTAAATAAATACAAATAAAGATGAATTTTACTTACTTTTATCCCTTTTAGAAGTATAGAAATTTAATGGAAGGGACACCAGGAATTGACTCGCAAACAACATCTCAAGTGACCTCACCCAGAAGAGCAAACACTCAACCACAAGGCTAACCTACTGCCCTCCATCTTCCCGAGGCAAGCTTGTCCACTAGCCTATATCAAAGCCTAGTTTCTACCCTTGCCACATGAAGACCACTTTTCCTAGCTCGACCCTGGTGCCACCTCGCATAGATCACGAATTGTGCCTCTTGTGATGAAAACGCGATATCCAATCAGATCGCAGTTCTTATCTTAGCTTCATATGCCACGATATAATCGATCAGATAACGAAAACATTTACGATTTCATCCAACACAAAAACATAGGCAATAGTTGGGGGGTTTAAGGATGAAAAAACATTCGTGTCCACAAAGACAGGCAGCGTTAAATCACACAAACATGTACCAGTCATGGATGTTGATTTTGTGAAACGTTCTCTGATTGGACTATCGATCTGTGAGATAGTCCAATCATATTTAGCACAGGAAAGTGGGCTTGATGTGGCAACGGTGGAACAAGACTTTGATAAAAACACTAGTGGATTCTCTTGGCTCGGGAAGCTGACTGCCCTGAGGAGAGTCTGACTATATCCGAAGTTGACTGAATATCCTTGTTTTATTGTCATGATCTGATACTGAACCACAAGCCTAACAATATTTCAAGTGTTCTGTAAACCAAGAAACAAGTCTGTTGTTGTCAACACCTATCATTAGATTCTGATGCTATATCCACAGTATGCTTTTTCAGTGTATGAATGCATATATAGATACCGATGAGCTAACATGTTGGCACTAAAATCAATCATGACAAATACGAAATAAAACTGCAGCTAGAAACTGGTACACAGCTAAGGTGAACTCAACCCTCGTGTGAGAAAATAAATAACGAAATGTGTTGTATGTGAAGCCAGTAAAAACATTCCAAATATATAAAATAAATTTAAATGATTTATATTATGGCAGCCATTAAGAAAATCTCAGCTAAGTTGGCAACTCACTGGCAACTCTGTCGTGGCGACTTGGGTGGTGTGACTGGCAGAGAGAATTTGAAAATGAGATCACCATCTTTTGACGTCTTGGAGTTATTGTTCTCAGTGACTTCTAATGACTTTTCTCCATTCGTGGCCTTGACCAATGAGGTTGGTGAGAGGTCAGGGTCGAGTATATACAGGTCTTCTGATGAAATGTCAGTGATGTAATGAAGATTCTCCTGTGCCCGGTCAATCCGAAAAAATCTTTCTGCAGTAGTTGCTGCAAAACAATATTCCCAAACAATTTTGTATGTGATACAAATTTAGATGAAAATCAAGAGACCAAGAGATCAATTATTAATACCAAATGATCTATTCAAATAATATAATAAAATTCACAAACAATACAATGAAATAAAAAATATATAATATTTGTTACTTAGATTTTATTATTACAAAACCGTAATGAAAAATTCATTATCCGTAAATAGTAATTTAAACTACTTTTGTCAGGAGAGTGTGTCCATTGTTGTTAATTCTTACAAACAAATTCCCCACAAAATAAAAATATTACTTGTTTAAAAAAGGTAGCAGTGACTTATTAAGTGAATAGTGAGTTCAACCTATGTTTGTGGGGACAGTTTGTCATTCAGCAATAATTTGTAGCCTTATGAAAATTCACCTGACAAAAATATTTTATTGTTTTAAGAAAGGTTACAGTGTTTCTATAAACCAATAATCATTTTTTTTTGTGGCCTTTGTGTACAGAGTGATTCTGAGAAGGAAGATTCACTCACAGTCTAAGAAGCACCATTTCTTCGAGAGTTTCTGCAGTGACTGGGTAGATGTGGGTGATGCCTCCTCACCATTGTGGAAATCCTGAAACAGTCAACAGTGGTTACCATGGTGACGCATGGAATGGATATGACCTCGACCGTCATCACCTTGGCGGAACCACTATAAGATGATTGTAAAGGGGGATGAGGGATCACAATGGGTATACATGTTAGGGCAAGTATTTACTGGGTGACCGCCAGCACACCTGGGTGAGTCAATTTATCTTTATATTCCTGTGACAAGGATTGGTGCTTACACTATCAACCACTAGTCTGCCTACAACAAGCCTGATCACACTGGGCAGGCAAACATGACTGCTGCAATATGGCTAATAACTCACTCACTCACTCTAAAGGTAATATAGCTGACAACTCACTCACTCACTCTCAAGGTAATATAGCTGACAACTCACTCACTCACTCTCAAGGTAAAATAGCTGACAACTTACTCACTGTAATTAGGGGTGAAACGATACAGCAAGGTCACGATATGATACGTATCATGATTCATAGGTCAGGATACAATACGTATCGTGATACACATATTTAATCGAATGGATACTTTTTGACAATAAATATTTCAAACTGGTTCAAAAGGAAATGCTAGCTGTAGACACATGTTCGTAATGGCTATATTTAGTGGTGAACTTGAAACGCTATTTACAACGCATTTTCCTATGTCTGAATCATAAAAACGCCAGGGGTCATGAAATGAGTAGTAAGTCATAGCAAGTGTATGTCTAGTATCGATACAAAGAAAAAAGAATTGCGTATCATATTGTTACATGAAAACTCAAGATTCATCAGTGCACCGATGTATCGTTTCACCGCTAACTGTAATATGGCTGACAACTCACTCACTCTCACTGTAATATGGCTGACAACTCACTCGCTCACTCTCACTGTAATATGGCCGACAACTCACTCGCTCACTCTCACTGTAATATGGCCGACAACTCACTCCCTCACTCTCACTGTAATATGGCTGACAACTCACTCACTCACTCTCACTGTAATATGGCTGACAACTCCCTCACTCTCACTGTAATATGGCTGACAACTCACTCACTCACTCTCACTGTAATATGGCTGATAACTCCCTCACTCACTCTCACTGTAATATGGCTGACAACTCCCTCACTCACTCTCACTGTAATATGGCTGACAACTCACTCACTCACTCTCACTGTAATATGGCTGACAACTCACTTACTCACTCACTCTCACTGTAATATGGCTGACAACTCACTCACTCACTCTCACTGTAATATGGCTGACAACTCACTCGCTCACTCTCACTGTAATATGGCTGACAACTCCCTCACTCACTCTCACTGTAATATGGCTAACAACTCCCTCACTCTCACTGTAATATGGCTGACAACTCACTCACTCACTCTCACTGTAATATGGCTAACAACTCACTCACTCTCACTGTAATATGGCTGACAACTCACTCACTCACTCTCACTGTAATATGGCTGACAACTCACTCACTCACTCTCACTGTAATATGGCTGACAACTCACTCACTCACTCTCACTGTAATATGGCTGACAACTCACTCACTCTCACTGTAATATGGCTGACAACTCCCTCACTCTCACTGTAATATGGCTGACAACTCACTCACTCACTCTCACTGTAATATGGCTGATAACTCCCTCACTCACTCTCACTGTAATATGGCTGACAACTCCCTCACTCACTCTCACTGTAATATGGCTGACAACTCACTCACTCACTCTCACTGTAATATGGCTGACAACTCACTCACTCACTCACTCTCACTGTAATATGGCTGACAACTCACTCACTCACTCTCACTGTAATATGGCTGACAACTCACTCGCTCACTCTCACTGTAATATGGCTGACAACTCCCTCACTCACTCTCACTGTAATATGGCTAACAACTCACTCACTCTCACTGTAATATGGCTGACAACTCCCTCACTCACTCTCACTGTAATATGGCTAACAACTCACTCACTCTCACTGTAATATGGCTGACAACTCACTCTCAATGTAATATGGCTGACAACTCACTCGCTCACTCTCACTGTAATATGGCTGAAAACTCACTCACTCACTCTCACTGTAATATGGCCGACAACTCACTCACTCTCACTGTAATATGGCTGACAACTCCCTCTCTCACAGTAATATGGCTGACAACTCACTCACTCACTCTCACTGTAATATGGCTGACAACTCCCTCATTCACTCTCACTGTAATATGGCTGACAACTCACTCACTCACTCTCACTGTAATATGGCTAACAACTCACTCACTCTCACTGTAATATGGCTGACAACTCACTCACTGTAATATGACTGATAAAGCACTGTAATATGGCTAACTCGCTCACTCTCACACACACATTAACAACTTTTCAGCAATAACTTATACTTGAATTTGAAATTACTTTGATTGAGGTAAGTTTATTTCTTGGACCTGTAGGAACTATGGGTTAGAATTGGTCTCTAGCAAACTACACTTCTCATAAGAGACAACTTAATAGATTGGGCGGTCAGATTTGGTGACTTTGTCAATCATCTGTCAACCATACCAATTTGATGTTGTTCATAGTATCAGTCACTAGTTGGGTCCAGACTAATATTTACAGACAACCATCTCATAGCTGGATAAACAACAAACAAACAAACAAACACACCCTAATCATCAACAGGACCCGTGAAGATCCAGGGTAGAATAGGTCTTCAGCAACCCATGCTCGTCGTAAAGGGCGACTAACGGGATCTGGTGGTCAGGCTTGCTGACTTGGTTGATGCATGTCATTGTATCCCACTTGCGTTGATAGATGCTCATGATGTCAATCACTGGATTGTCTGTTCCAGACTCGATTATTTACAGACCGCCTTCATATAGCTGGAATATTGCTGAGTGCGGCGTTAAACAACAAACAAACAAATTATCATCACCAGGTATTTTTAAACAACAAACGAAATGAAACAATTGTTTTTGTCAGACAATGACCTACCAGGTTCAGCTTGTTGATTTGTTCTCTAACCTGTTCCAGGTCGGCGTTGTTGTCCACGATGATCAACCCTACTGGAATAGCTGGCAAAACAAACAGTCCACATGCCGTGGTAACAAGGGAACACCACATACAGGTAGGTACGTTACGTGAACTTACGTCAACCATAACCACCAGCTCCGCCTACAGTTACATCTTAAACTCATCACAAAGAAGGCTCACTTTATTATCATTGATGTGAGAATACTTAGGTCTTTACTTATATTTGTCTGTAGTGTGCTTTTAAGCACGTGTTGATATTAAATTTCGACGGGTAAAAGTTATATTGAGTTAGTCAAAGAGTAAATAACACATGTATGATAAAATTGTTATAGCATAGTTGTTTTAGCGTAAGTGAAAAGCACATGCATGGGTATTAAAGGACTATAAAAACCATAAGCCAAGAATGTATTTCATGATTATGTTTGAAAATTACTGTGGTTGCATATTATCATTCAAAAATGAAAAATGTGTAGGTGACTTTGATTACAGGGTAACTGATGAAGGTATGTCCAATGCTTACTAGGTCTAGTGCCTAATATACACCAACAAGTGACAGGGTTGCAGCCCAGAGTCTAGTGCAAACTGGATGAGGCTAGACATGCATGTGATGGGGGTCACGAGTTGGCTCAAGGTCAAGGTCAGGGTCAGGGTCAGGGTCAGGTCAGGGGTCAGTCCCAATGTCCATGCAGAACCCAGGTCACATTGTTTTCATTGGTATGTACAAAAAAGTGAGAAATGAAATACTTGTTTTTATTGCAATGAGAACTGGTGTAAGAAGTGCAATGCTTTTGAGCAAACTTTTATTTACTAGTTTGTACTTTTTAAATGGGTCTTATATTATTTGGAAGTTATCCCCCTGACCATAGTTGTCTTGACTGCACTACCAACACAATCCTCTTACAAAAACCAATAGACTGACAGCCATGGTTCTCCTTGGAGAACATGTTACACCATGTTGTTAGATATGGATATATAATTCACACAAAAATACACCTTGTGTTTACAGATGTCAATGCCCAATAACCAAATTAATAATTTGTTAAGCCTTAATGTGTTAGACTGCACTCATTACACAGGTCCAAAGTGATGTCACATTGTCAGAGTATGGTAAGACATTTATCTGAAACTAATATACAATAATTTTGTGTTACTTCAAGATACGAAATATCTGCTATGGAGAGACCATAAGGCAAAATATTGCACAAAGTTGGCAATATTGATAGTTGGAATTATACATAATTTTTGTATCCCAAACAGAAAATTTGTCATCAATGTGCCCTGGCAATGTAACACGTTGCCCTGACAATGTAACACGTTGCCCCGGCAATGTAACACGTTGCCCCGGCAATGTAACATGTTGCCCTGGCAATGTAACACGTTGCCCTGACAATGTAACACGCTGCCCAGACAATGTAACACGTTGCCCCGGCAATGTAACACGTTGCCCCGGCAATGTAACATGTTGCCCTGACAATGTAACACGTTGCCCCGACAATGTAACACGTTGCCCTGACAATGTACCACGCTGCCCAGACAATGTAACACGTTGCCCCGGCAATGTAACACGTTGCCCCGGCAATGTAACACGTTGCCCCGACAATGTAACACGCTGCCCAGACAATGTAACATGTTGCCCCGGCAATGTAACACGTTGCCCCGGCAATGTAACATGTTGCCCTGACACAGGTCACTGTTGGCTATATGGTGAGTCACAATGTATGTATGGCTAGCTAGAGGATTGAGGAGGCCAAGCTGCAACCAGTGTCATCTTCTCATCATGCACTTTGTCAAGTGACAACTTACAAGCTTCCCGGAGTTTGTCTTTGTCGTAGTGCATGGCCTCGTACGTTGCCATGCCGATTCGACTCACTTGGAGTCGTAACCGTTCGGGAACCGAAGGTGGACTGAAAAACGCAAAGTCAGGACTATAGATGGGCTAAAACAGTCTGAGGGGAACCCTGGGGTGAGGTGCTGCTGAAACCAAGGGGTTAGTGGGTCAGGTTTCACACAAACTCCTAAAACACATTACTGTATTGGACGTTTGTAGCAACATGCATAAAAACTGCCCCATATTATAAATATTCAACAAGGATTTAATGTGAAACCTTTTCTAAAATTCACATATAATTCAATACCTTAATGTATAATTCAGTATTAAAAGCCTTTTAATTGATCAAGGTATCTATGCGAAGCCGAAACATTAGTTTACATGAAAATCTGAATTTGTAAATTTAAAATTTCTAACCTCTGAGAATGCCAAGGCAAATCCATTTATCCATTTGTGTCCTTTATTAGGTAACAAGATGTTCCTCCCCTCTATCATATCGAGTGACACACACACACAAGCACACACAAGCACACACACACACACACACACGTACGTACGTACGTACGTACGTGCATGCACGTCGCTATAAAAGTGCAATAATCTTGGGCGCGATGTTAAACCCCATTTCACCTCCCCCTCTCATTGCCACAAGACCATGACTTGATTCAGTGATTAAAACAATGACTACTGGTGGATTTAAGGCAAAACGAAATGACGTACAAAACTTGATTTTCATTCTAACTAAATTGTGCATCTACAAAAACAACTCTAGCTTTCCATACTTGAATGGTCTCAAGACAATGTTAACAAATTCCTATAATTTCAACAAGTTCACTGCCGATTCAGCATGCCAACATGGAAAGATTATGACCCTCTGGTCCTCAGGTCACAATTTGTTTACACAGGGAAGATTTATCCATTGTCCAATGTTCACACAGCCCTAATAATATATACGTAACATAATTATATTGTCCATCAATTTGTCTTTGAAATGTGTCTGTGTGCCTGTACCATCAAAAAGAATTATAGGGATAAGAAAAAACATATGACTACACCCCAAAGAGGAAGCACATATGGACATGGAGAAACATGGTGTGTTCAAGCCAAGAGGCATTAACAATGGTCAATATCCCTGACATTGTAGCTTTTACACATCTTGGTTGCTTAAAACGTCAAATACAGTAAGCACTTTGTTACAGCTACACATTACTGCAATTCAAACAAGACTCTGAATTGAGAATAAGAAATGGAAAAAGCTCTTTGAGAGTAAAAAATAATCCATCATTCAGAATTAAACTATGACAGAGAAGTACTGACTTCATTACTTAGAATCCATAGCAAGACTGCAATAAGATCCTACAATGTTTCACTGCCCTTAAAAATGTAGTGCAACTTGCAACCCATGGTTTGATGGTCTACTGCAGATGTTAAGTACATACTCATTGGTTATTGGCATTGATCCTCGTCTCTTGGGCTTCATGATCATATTGGCCTGATTGCGAAATCGTATTGAGACGACGGATGGGCGGAGTCGACAAGGTTCGCCATCTAGTTGCATAGGCATGGACTTGTGTGTGGTCAGCTTGACCTCTCGACACTGTATCAAACGTTCACCGTGACCACCCACGTACAATGTTGCCTGGATCGAAAACACAGAGATGGTCAGATAACTAGGATGCCGCTTGGATCAGGGCTACATTAGTGTTGTTGGAGGGCCTGCATTTACGGACCTTTTAGAAAGTCGATCCATATCACGAGGGACTAGAATGGGCTTCACGTATTGTACCCTGAAGGAATATTCCAGGCATATCACAACAAGGGACTGGGAGAGTGGGGTAGCCTCGATTCCCCACATAGATACAATATATGAGGCCCATTTCTGGTGTACCCCGCCGTGATATTCCTGAAATATTGCTGAAAGCGGCGTAAAACCACACCAACTCACTCAACAAAGGGCTACAAGAATGGGCTTATTGCACCCTTGTTGGGAATAAAACGTGGTCTCAGATATGAGAAGCCAATGAGTTAAGCACTGGCCAACTTACCACCACCGATTAAGATGCATCAGTGCCTCATGATCTTTTTTGCACACACGCGGGTGGTTGGGATAAATGCTACAGTTTGTTCGTTTTGTTCGTTGTTTAATGCCGCACTCAGCAATATTCCAGCTATATGACGCCGGTCTGTAAATAATCAAGTCCGGACCAGACAATCCCCTCATTGACATCATGAGCATCGATCCCAACAAGTGGGATACAATGACATGCATCAACCAGTCAGCAAGCCTGACCACCCGATCTTGTTAGTCGCCTCTTATGACAAGCAGGCTGCTGAAGCCCTATTCTTTACCCGGATCTTCACGGGTCGTAAATGCTACAGCGTCCCATTAATCCCCACCCAACAGTTGCCATGACGATGCGCTGTTGCTACTGACCAGGGAGGAGTATGTGAAGCCCACCACCTCCAGGTAGCCATCGTCGTGTCGTTGTGGCTCAAAGCCCACCGTGGTCGGGTTGCCCCAGGGGAGAGTGCCGCTAGCATAACTAGAACAGGAAGAGATCACACCATGGATCACATCTGTATCATAGACTGTATGACATCATTATAGCAGATATAGTACATCATTGTAACACATTGTATCACATAATTGTTACAGAGAACATCACATGATAATTGTAACAGTGTATAATATAATTGTAACATTGTATAAAATAATTTTAACAGTGTATAACGTAATCGTAACAGACTGTATCATATCATAGTAACAGAGTGTGAGTGTGTCAGTTTGATTTTACACAGCTTTTAGCAATATTCCAGCAATATCACGGCGGGGGACACCAGAAATGGGCTTCACACATTGTACCCATGTTGGGAATCGAACCCAGGTCTCCAGCATGATGAGTGAATGCTTTAACCACAAGGCGGCCTGACCGCCCCTCATATAGTAACAGAATGTATAACATAATTGTAAAAGAGTGTATCACATTATTGTAAAAGACTCTCACATCATAGTTACAGAGTATCACATAGTAAGAGATAGTATCACATCATTATCACAAATTGTATCACACACCATAGTCACGATAGTATCACATCGTTTCATATAACTGTAACATATATCCCATATCACCCCCACCCCCGGCTCTGTACATACCGTGGAATGTTGAGGAAGAGTAGACAGTGGAACTCCCCCCCCCCCCCCCGCTCTGTACATACCGTGGAATGTTGAGGAAGAGTAGACAGTGAAACCCTCCCCTCCCCCGCTCTGTACATACCGTGGAATGTTGAGGAAGAGTAGACAGTGGAGCTCCCCCCCCCCCGCTCTGCACATACCGTGGAATGTTGAGGAAGAGTAGACAGTGGAACTCCCCCCCCCGCTCTGTACATACCGTGGAATGTTGAGGAAGAGTAGACAGTGGAACTCCCCCCCCCCCCCCGCTCTGTACATACCGTGGAATGTTGAGGAAGAGTAGACAGTGGAGCTCCCCCCCCCCGCTCTGCACATACCGTGGAATGTTGAGGAAGAGTAGACAGTGGAACTCCCCCCCCCCCGCTCTGTACATACCGTGGAATGTTGAGGAAGAGTAGACAGTGGAGCTCCCCCCCCACCGCTCTGCACATACCGTGGAATGTTGAGGAAGAGTAGACAGTGGAACTCCCCCCCCCCCGCTCTGTACATACCGTGGAATGTTGAGGAAGAGTAGACAGTGGAACTCCCCCCCCCCGCTCTGTACATACCGTGGAATGTTGAGGAAGAGTAGACAGTGGAGCTTCATGTCCTGAATCTTCTGTGTGAGGTCCACCCCGTCACACTCCACCTTGATGTGGCCGGAGAAACCCTTCCAGCTCCTCTTCAACAGGTCTCTCCCCCCGGCCTGCACAGAGTCACATGCACAACTAGAGTCTACATAAGGAACATTGGTCAACTGGCCTTGAGGTGTTTGTGTGTTACTTTATGCCCAGTCAGCAATATTCCAGCTACACAACTGAGGCCTGAAACTCGTGGAATCTGTGCCAGACAAGCAGCAGTAGATGAGCAATGAGCAATGTCCACACCCTCCTACCCACAGCTCCATGCCACCAGCCTAGTACCTCGTGTGGCCAGCAACATGTGATTATTCATTACATTTACACAGTCCATTTCATTTTGGATGAGTCTAAACATTTAGATACACATCTGTCATAGAAAGTTAACTTTCATATTCGAGAACGTAAAACACTATTTCCATTTGCGTAGTTATCCTTTGTTTACATTGGTTGTTCAGCTCCAAGTGCTGTCATAGAAGCCCTACAGAGTACTAGCGACACGGTCACTTTCATGTATAAAGATATATGGCCATTCTCCTCACAGTTGCTGTTGTAGCAAGACATCTTTATAATTATTCAAGACAATCTGTAAAATGCACTGAAAGGTTGTACTGCATTGATTTCCGTATTAGCACGCTTGTTCAGAAACTAGAAAAAAGACATGTAATATGCAAATTAGCCTGTGGCTGTAGTGTGATGCCAAGTCATCACTGCGTGGGAGTGTGCAAAGGTTTCAATGCAATCAGGACAGATGATGACACACAATCAGTCTAGTCACACCTTCAATCCTTCAAATTCTCACTAGCTGCCTTAAGCAAGCAAGGGCTACAGCAGCTCTTCTGTCTAGGGCCCGTTCCACAAAATGATCATAACTCCCATCCTTCAACATACACATACGAGTCGTAGAGCTACGATCACTTCGTGGAGGGGGGCTCAGGAACTTCATAGGGGTCGTTATGGTCAGAGCTGAAAGGGAGATTGTAACTCCCATCCTTCAACATTCGCTTACGACAGTCGTAGTCCTATGATCACTTCGTGGAAGGGGCCTCAGGAATCTTCATAGGGGTCGTTATGGTCAGAGCTAAAAGGGAGATTGGAACTCCCATCCTTCAACATTCACTTACGACAGTCGTAGTCCTACGATCACCTTGTGGAAGGGGGCTCAGGAATCTTCATAGGGGTCGTTATGGTCAGAGCTACACGGGCATCATGATACTTACACCATCAGCTCCCAACTGCTAGTTTACCTCCTACACTGTCTGCGATTACAGAAGTCAAATACAAGTGTACCTCCGATGATTAACATTTTATACTGACTAAATAACAGAGTTTTACAAGTACAATACGTTTTGCCTGGATGAAAGTTTTATTAATAGATATCACTTACCCCTGCATAGAATATTTTGTTTCGTAACCTGCTATTGAACTTCTCAGGGTTCGCCTCTGAAATAAAAAAATGAGATGGATTAATTGTTGCCATTCATAATTTTACTCATGCTTGTATTAATGAGCTACAACTGTTTGGTTCTTTTCATACTAACTTTCTTGGTTAGGTTACAAACAGTATAAAACAGACTAAACTAACAAGCACCACCAGAACAAGGTGAAAGACAAGGTTTACTCAGAACAAGAGAGTGAGTGAGTGAGTTTGGTTTTACGCCGCTTTTAGCAATATTTTAGCAATATCACGGCGGGGGACACCAGAAATGGGCTTCACACATTGTACCCACGTCGGGATTCGAACCCGGGTCTTTGTCGTGGCGAGCGAACGCTTTAACCACTAGGCTACCCGACCGCCTTAAGAACAACAGAACGAAGCCATGTTTGTAATGTCTGACGGTACCATGGGATTCGTAATAGGTGAAAGACAACTGAGGTTTACTCAGTGCGAGGGATGACAGGGATAGTGATTGAGATGTCGTACCCCGAGATTCGTGGAACTCCAAGGACACATGAGCGTCAGCACCAAGACTGAAGTAGTTGTTGAAGATTTCGAGGGGCAGCGTGTCTGCTCCTCCCTCCTCATCTGGCTCGGCAGCTGTGTTAGGGGTCACACTGATGTTCCACCTGTAACAGGGAGGAGCGAGTGAGTGACCATTCTAAAGCCTTGTGGATGCTAGTTAGTCATTTAGTACACAACAAAATGATTATTCAGAATTTCACTCTCTTCCAACTAGCCACAACCACAATATAGAATAATGCAAGTTACTGTCCTGAGGTCATTGAATGACATACCTTAGCAATATATGAGTATGTTTGTTATTGAATACACTATATTTCAGCAATACTTCTGCAATAGGATTACAGCCTGCAAATAACCGAGTATGGGTCAGACATTCCAGTGACTGATATCGTGGGCAATGAACCGTGCTGTTGGGAAAGAATGACACACAATTAAGCAAGTCACTGAGTCTGACCACCAATTGGTCACATCTACTGACCGGCACAGATTTTGGTGGACCAGTTCTAACCCAGGATCAAGATCAGCATGGGGTAGTGAAGTAAAGAATGTTATTCTTTTATGGTGTAGTAAGCAATATTATCTATAATTCCGTCCTGGAATCCCCCAAGGGTTTATCTCAGCAAAAACCCACAAAAGGGTGAGTCAGTCACGTGGAGCTGAATACCTCATAGCAATGCTTCAGAATGTCAGCTTCAGAATGTGGGGAGAAGATTTGAATGTTGGTTGTCGACTTTGATCAAATTCATGAATCCACAAGCACGGGTACAGACCTTTGAAACCATTATCAAGGGGAAAATAAGGGATTCAAACCTATGACCAGGGGATCCTGCCAGTTATATGCTGAGACCACTCAGCCATCCACCTGTGACCCAATAATGCGTCAGTAATGGAAACACTCAATTGAAGCACCTGGATGAGAGATTGAAGCATCAGTAAAATCTCCAGAATCTTCCAGTGATGATTTACCTGCCCCTGTACATAACCATTATCTACTGTCTACATACAGGAACATATGTATCTATTGTCATACCACCAATAACAGTCATACTACCCGGATGGGAGATAACAGTCATACTACCTGGATGGGAGATAACAGTCATACTACCTGGATGGGAGATAACAGTCATACTGCCTGGATGGGAGATAACAGTCATACTACCTGGATGGGAGATAACAGTCATACTACCTGGATGGGAGATAACAGTCATACTACCCGGATGGGAGATAACAGTCATACTACCTGGATGGGAGATAACAGTCATACTGCCTGGATGGGAGATAACAGTCATACTACCTGGATGGGAGATAACAGTCATACTACCTGGCTGGGAGATAACAGTCATACTACCCGGATGGGAGATAACAGTCATACTACCTGGATGGGAGATAACAGTCATACTACCTGGATGGGAGATAACAGTCATACTGCCTGGATGGGAGATAACAGTCATACTGCCTGGATGGGAGATAACAGTCATACTACCTGGATGGGAGATAACAGTCATACTACCCGGATGGGAGATAACAGTCATACTACCTGGATGGGAGATAACAGTCATACTACCCGGATGGGAGATAACAGTCATACTACCTGGATGGGAGATAACAGTCATACTGCCTGGATGGGAGATAACAGTCATACTACCCGGATGGGAGATAACAGTCATACTACCTGGATGGGAGATAACAGTCATACTACCTGGATGGGAGATAACAGTCATACTACCTGGATGGGAGATAACAGTCATACTGCCTGGATGGGAGATAACAGTCATACTGCTTGGTTGGGAGATAACAGTCACACTACCTGGTTGGGAGTAACAGTCATACTACCTGGATGGGAGATAACAGTCATACTGCCTGGATGAGAGATAACAGCCATACTGCCTGGATGGGAGATAACAGCCATACTGCCTGGATGGGAGATAACAGTCATACTACCTGGATGGGAGATAACAGCCATACTGCCTGGATGGGAGATAACAAGCATACTGCCTGGATGGGAGATAACAGCCATACTACCTGGACGGGAGATAACAGCCATACTGCCTGGATGAGAGATAACAGCCATACTACCTGGATGGGAGATAATAGTCATACTGCCTGGATGGGAGATAACAGCCATACTGCCTGGATAGGTGATAATAGTCATACTACCTGGATGGGAGATAACAGTCATACTACCTGGATGGGAGATAATAGTCATACTGCCTGGATGGGAGATAACAGCCATACTGCCTGGATAGGTGATAATAGTCATACTACCTGGATGGGAGATAACAGTCATACTACCTGGATGGGAGATAACAGTCATACTACCTGGATGGGAGATAACAGTCATACTACCTGGATGGGAGATAACAGTCATACTGCCTGGATGGGAGATAACAGTCATACTGCTTGGTTGGGAGATAACAGTCACACTACCTGGTTGGGAGTAACAGTCATACTACCTGGATGGGAGATAACAGTCATACTGCCTGGATGAGAGATAACAGCCATACTGCCTGGATGGGAGATAACAGCCATACTGCCTGGATGGGAGATAACAGTCATACTACCTGGATGGGAGATAACAGCCATACTGCCTGGATGGGAGATAACAAGCATACTGCCTGGATGGGAGATAACAGCCATACTACCTGGACGGGAGATAACAGCCATACTGCCTGGATGGGAGATAACAAGCATACTGCCTGGATGGGAGATAACAGCCATACTACCTGGACGGGAGATAACAGCCATACTGCCTGGATGAGAGATAACAGCCATACTACCTGGATGGGAGATAATAGTCATACTGCCTGGATGGGAGATAACAGCCATACTGCCTGGATAGGTGATAATAGTCATACTGCCTGGATGGGAGATAACAAGCATACTACCTGGATGGGAGATAACAAGCATACTGCCTGGACGGGAGATAACAGCCATACTGCCTGGATGGGAGATAACAAGCATACTACCTGGATGGGAGATAACAAGCATACTACCTGGATGGGAGATAACAAGCATACTACCTGGATGGGAGATAACAGCCATACTGCCTGGACGGGAGATAACAGCCATACTGCCTGGATGGGAGATAACAGCCATACTGCCTGGATGGGAGATAACAGTCATACTACCTGGATGGGAGATAACAGCCATACTGCCTGGATGGGAGATAACAAGCATACTGCCTGGATGGGAGATAACAGCCATACTACCTGGACGGGAGATAACAGCCATACTGCCTGGATGGAAGATAACAAGCATACTACCTGGACGGGAGATAACAGCCATACTGCCTGGATGGGAGATAACAGCCATACTGCCTGGATGGAAGATAACAAGCATACTACCTGGACGGGAGATAACAGCCATACTGCCTGGATGGGAGATAACAAGCATACTGCCTGGATGGGAGATAACAGCCATACTACCTGGACGGGAGATAACAGCCATACTACCTGGACGGGAGATAACAGCCATACTGCCTGGATGGAAGATAACAAGCATACTACCTGGACGGGAGATAACAGCCATACTGCCTGGATGGGAGATAACAGCCATACTACCTGGACGGGAGATAACAGCCATACTGCCTGGATGGAAGATAACAAGCATACTACCTGGACGGGAGATAACAGCCATACTGCCTGGATGGGAGATAACAGCCATACTGCCTGGATGGAAGATAACAAGCATACTACCTGGACGGGAGATAACAGCCATACTGCCTGGATGGGAGATAACAAGCATACTGCCTGGATGGGAGATAACAGCCATACTACCTGGACGGGAGATAACAGCCATACTACCTGGACGGGAGATAACAGCCATACTGCCTGGATGGAAGATAACAAGCATACTACCTGGACGGGAGATAACAGCCATACTGCCTGGATGGGAGATAACAGCCATACTACCTGGATGGAAGATAACAAGCATACTACCTGGACGGGAGATAACAGCCATACTGCCTGGATGGGAGATAACAGCCATACTGCCTGGATGGAAGATAACAAGCATACTACCTGGATGGGAGATAACAGCCATACTACCTGGACGGGAGATAACAGCCATACTACCTGGACGGGAGATAACAGCCATACTGCCTGGATGGAAGATAACAAGCATACTACCTGGACGGGAGATAACAGCCATACTGCCTGGATGGGAGATAACAGCCATACTACCTGGATGGAAGATAACAAGCATACTACCTGGACGGGAGATAACAGCCATACTGCCTGGATGGGAGATAACAGCCATACTGCCTGGATGGAAGATAACAAGCATACTACCTGGACGGGAGATAACAGCCATACTGCCTGGATGGGAGATAACAAGCATACTGCCTGGATGGGAGATAACAGCCATACTACCTGGACGGGAGATAACAGCCATACTACCTGGACGGGAGATAACAGCCATACTGCCTGGATGGAAGATAACAAGCATACTACCTGGACGGGAGATAACAGCCATACTGCCTGGATGGGAGATAACAAGCATACTGCCTGGATGGGAGATAACAGCCATACTACCTGGACGGGAGATAACAGCCATACTGCCTGGATGGAAGATAACAAGCATACTACCTGGACGAGAGATAACAGCCATACTGCCTGGATGGGAGATAACAGCCATACTGCCTGGATGGAAGATAACAAGCATACTACCTGGATGGGAGATAACAGCCATACTACCTGGACGGGAGATAACAGCCATACTGCCTGGATGGGAGATAACAGCCATACTGCCTGGATGGGAGATAACAGTCATACTGCCTGGATGGGAGATAACAAGCATACTGCCTGGATCGGAGATAACAAGCATACTACCTGGATGGGAGATAACAGCCATACTGCCTGGACGGGAGATAACAGCCATACTGCCTGGATGGGAGATAACAGCCATACTGCCTGGATGGGAGATAACAGTCATACTACCTGGATGGGAGATAACAGCCATACTGCCTGGATGGGAGATAACAGCCATACTGCCTGGATGGGAGATAACAGTCATACTACCTGGACGGGAGATAACAGCCATACTGCCTGGATAGGAGATAACAGCCATACTGCCTGGATGGGCGATAATAGTCATACTGCCTGTATGGGAGATAACAGCCATACTGCCTTGATGGCAATTAACAGCCATACTGCCTGTCCGGGAGATAACAGCGATATTTCCTGGCCAGAAGATAACAGCCATGCTGCCTTAGATCGAAGATAACAGCCATACTACCTGGTTGGGAGATAACAGTCACACTACCTGGTTGGGAGATAACAGTCATACTGCCTGGATGGGAGATAACAGCAATACTGCCTGTCTGGGAGATAACAGCGATATTTCCTGGCCAGAAGATAACAGCCATGCTGCCTTAGATCGAAGATAACAGCCATACTACCTGGTTGGGAGATAACAGTCACACTACCTGGTTGGGAGATAACAGTCATACTGCCTGGCTGGGAGATAACAGCCATACTACCTGGATGGGAGATAACAGTCATACTGCCTGGCTGGGAGATAACAGTCATACTACCTGGATGGGAGATAACAGTCATACTGCCTGGCTGGGAGAGAACAGCCATACTACTTGGATGGGAGATAACAGTCATACTGCCTGGCTGGGAGAGAACAGCCATACTACTTGGATGGAAGATAACAGTCATACTACCTGGCTGGGAGAGAACAGCCATACTACCTGGATAGGAGATAACAGCCATACTGCCTGGATGGGAGATAACAGCCATACTACCTGGATGGGAGATAACAGTCATACTGCCTGGATGGGAGATAACAGCCATACTACTTGGATGGGAGATAACAGTCATACTGCCTGGCTGGGAGAGAACAGCCATACTACCTGGATAGGAGATAACAGCAATACTACCTGGATGGGAGATAACAGCCATACTACCTGGATGGGAGATAACAGCCATACTGCCTGGATGGGAGATAACAGCCATACTGCCTGGATGGGAGATAACAGCCATACTACCTGGATGGGAGATAACAGCCATACTGCCTGGATGGGAGATAACAGCCATACTGCCTGGATGAGAGATAACAGCAATACTACCTGGCTGGGAGATAACAGCCATACTGCCTGGATGGGAGATAACAGCCATACTGCCTGGATAGGTGATAATAGTCATACTGCCTGGATGGGAGATAACAAGCATACTACCTGGATGGGCGATAACAGCCATACTGCCTGGATGGGAGGTAACAGCCATACTGCCTGTCCGGGAGATAACAGCGATATTCCCTTGCCAGAAGATAACAGCCATGCTGCCTTGGATCGAAGATAACAGCCATACTACCTGGATGGGAAATAACAGTCATACTGACTGGATGGGAGATAACAAGCATGCTACCTGGATGGGCGATAATAGTCATACTGCCTGGATGGGAGATAACAGCCATACTGCTTGGATGGGAGATAACAGCCATACTGCCTGTCCGAGAGATAACAGCGATATTTCCTGGCCCGAAGATAACAGCCATGCTGCCTTGGATCGAAGATAACAGCCATACTACCTGGATGGGAGATAACAGTCATACTGACTGGATGGGAGATAACAGCCATACTACCTGGATGGGAGATAACAGCAATACTACCTGGATGGGAGATAACAGTCATACTACCTGGATGAGAGATAACAGCAATACTACCTGGCCAGGAGATAACAGCAATACTACCTGGATGAGAGATAACAAGGATAACTTACCGGTCTAGCTGAACCACCTGGCCATCTTCAACATTGCATAAGATTTTAGAAATTGGTTCATCGGTGTAGCCCTGTAACATAGCAGATCAAACATTCAGTTAAACATCCGAAACTGTGGGTGAGTGAAGGTTGTTTTAGACAGATCACAGGCAGAAATAATAAACAAATCATGCATGAATCATGCACACACTGGTAGCCAAATTGTAATCAAATACTGGTTTCCAGTCTACCCTATTAATTTGGTATTTTAAATCTGTTTAATATCAAAAGCAATATCTGTATTTTGTGGTATTGTAAACTGTTTACATGATCACCAGTTGTATAATAATTGTCTTATAGTGAGATTGTAAAATTATGTCAAGAAAATTAATACTAATATATCACTGGATTTTAAAAAGAATTAGGCAAATGGGACCATGAAAACATGCATCAGCTCGTAAGCACACAAAGCTGGTAGACATGGACGATTTTGCTCTTGATAGCATACATTGGATCACATGAATATTCATGAGTTCTGTGATTTACAATACATGTAGTACAAGCGTGGTCTATCCGACCACCACCAGCTGCTTCAAATTGGACAAGGAGACAAATTTATTAGTAATGTACTCATCAAGGAATACATTTATTTCGGGAGGCCCTTTCCCAGGTTGATTGTAAACAATGTTTATTTGGTCACATACATGTAGTTTGAACAACCGCCAAAATATAACAAAAGTGCCCACCCGCACTATATGTTCAACCGCCATTGCCTGAGAACCAATTCTTTTATTTTTTTAAGCCTTATAAACAATATGATTGGACATTAGGATACCTGATACCAAAGGTCAAACAGCAGTGTCACCATGCCGCCACACTGAATCCTTGAGAACATCGACAATGATGTGCCGATGTATCAGAAGTTGAAGACATGATGAGACAAGGTGTTAATAAAGGCCTGAGTTTTATGTTGAAAGTATGAAAAGTATCACTATGTAAAGTGTGATCTGAGTGTATATAAGAAATATATGACAAGTGTGAGGTGTCTATCGTACGATAAAACACTGCAGGGAGAATAAACCATGAGGGGCACAGCTCACATTTGATTATCCAGAAATGACATCATGATAGAATAATGTTTAATTGTGAAATAAACCACGCTTTGTTCTTCAATGTTCTTTGCGATTTATCTCGTATCTTATATTTTACCATACAGAACAGTAACAACCCTAATAACAGCCTTACTAATGAGTTTCCATCACAAAACAATTCTATCCACATGCTGACATATAGTCATGGAAACGAACAAAAGAACAATGAAAAATATGGGAAATAAGCTTTACTGTACATTTGAAATAGCGTGTATACAAAGTCAAGACATGTAGAAAACAAATGTTGAGTTGTATTTGTGTGCATGTTTCCATTGGTATCCAAGGCTGGGAACCCATGATAGCATATGATCTTACAGTGGCTAAAACTAGGTGTTCCCTCATTCATTTCCATCAGTATACATGTACCTTCATCTGTTAATTGGATGCTCCAACTGTCTGCTATTTTCCTGACAACCCATCATCAGTGTTCAAACTACAAGGGACATTATCTTCGTTATAGGTTCATTGAGGTTCTTATGGAGTTCATGTCAATTAGCGCTCATCTTCGGATTAGTGTCCCCTGGATTAATTGGACTAATATACTCAGGTATCCCAACTAATCAGTGATGTCAGGGGGGACAGCAGATATGTATTCAGTCAAACAGTGTCCACTACTGTACATGACAAAATGGACTCTCCACTAATGAGGTCAAAATACTTAGTACCAGTTTGAAGCTAGGAGCCAATATAATACATACTACTCAAAAGAAACTAAGGACCACCTGATACTTTCATATTACTATAGTTAATCTGTCAGGCCATGAAGACCCTCATTCTCCATGGCTGCAGCCTTGGTCTTCTTTCTTTATAATTTGTGTTTTTCATGTTTGACCTCAAAGTTTTGATGGCAACGCTGATGTAATTATGTAACAGGGAGCGGTATTTACAGAAGTCAGTGGGGCCTGTGTACCAATACCTTTCAAGTTAGTGGAATAAAATATGTTTAAACTATAACACCATGTCCTGCAAAATTAATTTGTTTTTCATTCACTACAAGTAAATAAATTTTAAAGTGAAAGAACTCATAAGCTTAGCCACTGATAATATTGGATTTGACCGCCTCCTTGGTCAAGTGGTAGAGTGTCCGCTCAGAGAGCGGAGGGTCCAGGGTTCGATCCCCGCCCACGTCACACCAAAAGACGTCAAAAGATGGTACTTGTAACCCTGTCTGGCACTCGGCCTTAGGGGCTTAAACAAGGACTGGTCGGCTCGGAGTCAGTATACTGTGTCTGTGTGGGGTATTCATGTTAAACTGCGGCATGGTATTTCAGTGGGGTAGCTCTATAAAATCGGCATCAGTCCAGACGAGTACAAGCAGCCACACACACACACGTGCCTGCACATCGCTATATAAGTGCAATAATCTTGAAGGCGACACTAAACCCCATTTCACCTCACCACAAAATATTTTATATTAAGGTATTTGTGTTAATTTCTGCTCCATAACCTTCCTATAGTTTACTATTACTATATAAAACATGCAACTGACACTGCCCTTATTCACAAAATACCTGGTGAAAGTTTCAAACATTTTCAAAATGAAAGAATAAAAGAGAATAGAACAGTAAAGATGTCAATATTTGTTTTAAGACGGTTTCAGAGGTTGTCAATGTTGATTTGCATCTTAGCATAATTTCAGACACATATCGTTGTAAAATTTCATAACAGAGAAAAAAAATCTGAACTTTAAGACAAGAAATTAAAAAAAACTGTAAGTAGGAGAAATTAAGGCAATCATATACAGGAGGGAACTTTTACGTAACAATTACAGCCATAAATGATCTTGACATCCTAATACAGACTTGCCAAACCCCTGAATCTGCAGCACACACCCATTTTTATATCCCTGGTTAGGATAATGTAATAGCCATCAAATAAATGTTTTCATCGGAGAAAAATAATGTTAAGATTTCCTTCACCATTGCTTGGAAGCCATTTTGTTTTGAATCATTTATGATCAATACCACATGTAGATATCTACATACTGCAAAACTAGCCAAATTACAAAAAAAATCACGGAAAATAAGCAAAGAATAATATCACAATTCAGAACAGACTAATTATGTTTCTGGTTTGATGGAGGAGCCCACCATTACAAAATGAAATAAAACAGCGTAAACTAATTTCTGTATGAGGTAACTAAAAGTAAGCTCATTTCAAACCCATTTCCCTAATGTCTAATAATCAACAAGCATATAAACAAAATCCAGATTTCTAAAGTTTGTAACTTTTCTCAAATCAACAATGAAAAAATGGAATTTTCTAAACCACCATAACCCCAATCACTAGAAGATTTATATTTTGACAAGTGCCTGAGTGAGTGAGTGAGTGAGTGAGTGAGTGAGTGAGTGAGTGAGTGAGTGAGGTTTTACGCCATTTTTAGCAATATTCCAGCAATATCACAGCGGGGGACACCAGAAATGGGCTTCACACATAGTACCCATGTCAGGAATCGAACCCGGGACTTCGGCATGACGAGCGAACTCTTTAACCACTAGGCTACCCGACAGCCCTAAATATAATGAAGTGCAATGGGTAAGTGAAACATATTTTGAGACATGCCCCACCAAGGTTTTCACATGCAGTGTTCTACATTGGTGAGGGAGTAAGAGAGGATGGAGCATATGGGGAATGGAACCCGGGTCTTCTGTGTGATGAGTGAACACTTTAACCACTATGCTACCTCACCACCCCTCTCTACATTAGTGAGTGAGTGAGTGAGTATGGGGAATTGAACCCGGTCGTCTGCATAATGAGGGAACACTTTAATCACTAGGCTACCTCACCGTCCCGCTCTACATTGGTTAGTGAGTGAGTATGGGGAATTGAACCCAGGCCTTCTGCATAATTAGTGAACAGTTTAACCACTAGGCTACCTCACTGTCTCGCTCTACATTGGTGAGTGAGTGAGTGAGTATGGGGAATTGAACCCGGTCGTCTGCATAATGAGGGAACACTTTAATCACTAGGCTACCTCACCGTCCCTCCCTACATTGGTGAGTGAGTGAGTATGGGGAATTGAACCCGGTCGTCTGCATAATTAGTGAACAGTTTAACCACTAGGCTACCTCACTGTCTCACTCTACATTGGTGAGTGAGTGAGTGAGTATGGGGAATTGAACCCGGTCGTCTGCATAATGAGGGAACACTTTAACCACTAGGCTACCTCGCCGTCTCGCTCTACATTGGTGAGTGAGTGAGTATGGGGAATTGAACCCAGGCGTTCTGCATAATTAGTGAACACTTTAACCACTAGGCTACCTCACCGTCTTGCTCAATCACTCACCAATGAAGAGAGAGTATTGAGCATATGGAGAATCGAACCCGGGTCTTCTATATGAAACACTGTATGACAAGTGCCCCAACAGGATGTTCCTGTAGTGCACTAGGTAGGTGAAACACTGTATGACAAGTGCCCCCAACAGGATGGTCCTGTAGTGCACTAGGTAGGTGAAACACTGTATGACAAGTGTCTCAACAGGATGTTCCTGTAGTGCACTAGGTAGGTGAAACACTGTATGCCAAGTGTCCCCTAAAGGATGTTCCTGTAGTGACTAGGTAGGTGAAACACTGTGTGACAAGTGCCCCAACAGGATGTTCCTGTAGTGCACTAGGTAGGTGAAACACTGTATGACAAGTGCCCCAACAGGATGGTCCTGCAGTGCACTAGGTAGGTGAAACACTGTATGACAAGTGTCCCCAACAGGATGTTCCTGTAGTGCACTAGGTAGATGAAACACTGTATGACAAGTGCCCCCAACAGGTTGTTCCTGTAATGCACTAGGTAGATGAAACACTGTATGACAAGTGCCCCAACAGGATGTTCCTGTAGTGCACTAGGTAGGTGAAACACTGTATGACAAGTGCCCCAACAGGATGTTCCTGTAATGCACTAGGTAGGTGAAACACTGTATGACAAGTGCCCCCAACAGGATGGTCCTGCAGTGCACTAGGTAGGTGAAACACTGTATGACAAGTGTCCCCAACAGGATGTTCCTGTAGTGCACTAGGTAGATGAAACACTGTATGACAAGTGCCCCCAACAGGATGTTCCTGTAGTGACTAGGTAGGTGAAACACTGTATGCCAAGCGCCCCCAAAAGGATGTTCCTGTAGTGACTAGGTAGGTGAAACACTGTATGACAAGTGTCCCCAACAGGATGTTCCTGTAGTGCACTAGGTAGGTGAAACACTGTATGACAAGTGTCCCCAACAGGATGTTCCTGTAGTGACTAGGTAGGTGAAACACTGTATGACAAGTGTCCCCAACAGGATGTTCCTGTAGTGACTAGGTAGGTGAAACACTGTATGACAAGTGCCCCCAACAGGATGTTCCTGTAGTGACTAGGTAGGTGAAACACTGTATGCCAAGCGCCCCCAAAAGGATGTTCCTGTAGTGACTAGGTAGGTGAAACACTGTATGACAAGTGTCCCCAACAGGATGTTCCTGTAGTGCACTAGGTAGGTGAAACACTGTATGACAAGTGTCCCCAACAGGATGTTCCTGTAGTGACTAGGTAGGTGAAACACTGTATGACAAGTGTCCCCAACAGGATGTTCCTGTAGTGACTAGGTAGGTGAAACACTGTATGACAAGTGCCCCCAACAGGATGTTCCTGTAGTGACTAGGTAGGTGAAACACTGTATGACAAGTGTCCCCAACAGGATGTTCCTGTAGTGACTAGGTAGGTGAAACACTGTATGCCAAGCGCCCCCAAAAGGATGTTCCTGTAGTGACTAGGTAGGTGAAACACTGTATGACAAGTGTCCCCAACAGGATGTTCCTGTAGTGCACTAGGTAGGTGAAACACTGTATGACAAGTGTCCCCAACAGGATGGTCCTGTAGTGACTAGGTAGGTGAAACACTGTATGACAAGTGTCCCCAACAGGATGTTCCTGTAGTGACTAGGTAGGTGAAACACTGTATGACAAGTGTCCCCAACAGGATGTTCCTGTAGTGACTAGGTAGGTGAAACACTGTATGACAAGTGTCCCCAACAGGATGTTCCTGTAGTGCACTAGGTAGGTGAAACACTGTATGACAAGTGTCCCCAACAGGATGGTCCTGTAGTGACTAGGTAGGTGAAACACTGTATGACAAGTGTCCCCAACAGGATGTTCCTGTAGTGACTAGGTAGGTGAAACACTGTATGACAAGTGTCCCCAACAGGATGTTCCTGTAGTGACTAGGTAGGTGAAACACTGTATGACAAGTGTCCCCAACAGGATGTTCCTGTAGTGACTAGGTAGGTGAAACACTGTATGACAAGTGTCCCCAACAGGATGTTCCTGTAGTGCACTAGGTAGGTGAAACACTGTATGACAAGTGTCCCCAACAGGATGGTCCTGTAGTGCACTAGGTAGGTGAAACACTGTATGACAAGTGTCCCCAACAGGATGTTCCTGTAGTGACTAGGTAGGTGAAACACTGTATGACAAGTGTCCCCAACAGGATGTTCCTGTAGTGACTAGGTAGGTGAAACACTGTATGACAAGTGCCCCCAACAGGATGTTCCTGTAGTGACTAGGTAGGTGAAACACTGTATGACAAGTGTCCCCAACAGGATGTTCCTGTAGTGACTAGGTAGGTGAAACACTGTATGACAAGTGCCCCCAACAGGATGTTCCTGTAGTGACTAGGTAGGTGAAACACTGTATGACAAGTGCCCCCAACAGGATGTTCCTGTAGTGCTCTCGGTAGGTGAAACACTGTATGACAAGTGCCCCCAACAGGATGTTCCTGTAGTGACTAGGTAGGTGAAACACTGTATGACAAGTGTCCCCAACAGGATGTTCCTGTAGTGCTCTCGGTAGGTGAAACACTGTATGACAAGTGTCCCCAACAGGATGTTCCTGTAGTGACTAGGTAGGTGAAACACTCGCTGATAGAAGTGAGACTTACCCCTCCCCAGTTGAGTGTTCTGGCCAGGTCGTTGCCGGTGCCGATGGGGAGGATGGCGACAGGGGGTGGGGGCGAGATCCCCAGGGAGTCCAGCATGGACAGGATCCAGTCCACCGTACCGTCTCCCCCACAGGCCAACAGGCGAAGGTTAGGCACTTTCTTGAACAATTCCAGACTGAAATACAGAGCATGGGTCAACTGAGTGACAGTTTATATACATTTTACATGACTGATGTCAAACTTAAATTGAAGAATCAATTGTTAAAAGCTGGCTGCAACTATGAATCTTATGGCTGGAAGGGAAATAAAACAAGTTTTTTTATATATTATTTTCCTGCATTAAATTTTGGCCCAAATATATTGGAAACCAACAAATGAAAATAACACCGATAGGCCAAAATAATGCTGCTCATTGTCACAGAACCTGGATAGAAATTAAGCCATTGATATAACTCTCCGTGTTCTAGTGGTAGAGCTTCCGCCCAGAGAAGGGGAAGGATCGGGGTTCGATCCCCGTCATGTCATACCAAAAGCATAGGGTTTGCCTCACAACTATTAGATATGTTGGAAGTGAAAATGAGAATATGATGGCATATTTGAAAAATTTAAAAAGATTTTATAGCGTGATTACGTCCAAAACTTAAATGAATGGCTGTGATTGAATGGATGTAAGGTATTCAATGGAATTATGGACAGCACACATTGTACCCATGTAGGAATGAGCAAACACTTTAAACACGAGGCTACCCCACCGCCTCCAACACCAAGCCAACACACTGTGATATAAATGAAATAATGTCCAAAACAATGAACATGAACCACTCTGATAAACCCACAAGCACAAGTATTGTTTCAAAAGACCATACCCGTGAAGATCCGGGGTAGAGTTGGTCTTCAGCAACCACTGCTTGCCATAAGAGGCGACAATGCTTGTAGTAAGAGGTGACTAACGGGATCGGGTGGTCAGACCCGCCGACTTGGTTCATGCATGTTATCGTATCCCAATTGCATAGATCGATGCTCCTAATGTCAATCACTGGATTGTCGGGTCCAGACTCAATTATTTACGGACCACCGTCATATAGCTGATGAGTGGGGCGTTAAACAGCAAACAAAAAACAAACAAATAAAAAGACCAAGGATTCCAATTGGGCCGAATCGGGAGTTCAAACCCACTGAGGTGCTGCCATGGCTAGGTGCTGCAACCATAACTACTGGGTGCCTCTGCCTCGTGGTGCAACATGGGGCCTGCCATATGCTTTGGCTTAAAAAATAAAATGCGACTAAATGATGATGCCGTGGTGACTGACAATCCAAATGGGTTTTTTTTAGTCTTAAAAAGAAAAATGTAGCTAGGCACAAATTGAACCACAAGACTCCGCATGAGAATGTTCTATTGGAGCTATTTCTGCCAATTTGAAATAAAATGTTTCTCACCCAAACTGTGGTCCTCCTTGTGTCAAGTCAAACACTTGCCGCGGGTTCAGGAGCCAGCTGAACTTGTGGAAGAGTTTTGCCCCCTGATTGCCACCACTCTTGGGGTTTATAAAAACCAGGAGCGGCTTTAAAAGCGGTGATGGAATCGGTTTGATCAGAAATGGTTTTTGTTCATCTTTACTTCGCCTTTTCTTCAAGGATGCTTTCCTTTTCTTACTAGCCCGAAGTGAAGATTTGAAGGAACCCTGTCGCAGACGGAAAGTATTTATTTCAAACAATGCTCAAGATTATATAAAATAGTTTTTTTCTTGTTTCAAAGCACAACCACATTTCTTGGGAATATTGGTCAAATATCGGTTGAGGGCAACAACGATAAAGATAATCAATATTCTCTGTTCACTAGCACTGATGAGACATTCTAACTTATAACATACCATCCCAACTAAGCCCGCACAAAAAAACATTGGTTGTTCAAAGGAAAGAAAAGCTCAACACTTGTCAACTTTCTGGTACGTACATTTTATGTAAACCCATATGGCAAACAGAAAGCCAACATCGATAATTATTTTCTCATCATCTTTATATGTGATGTGGAGGGATGGGATTCAAGTACTACGGGCACACATAATGACCAGGGGCTATATTCAAGGACTGACCAGAAAGTACTCAACACAAACATTTGATTTCATACCACAAATGTTTAGTCTGACCACATAACACGCCAAAGAAATCAGTATGGTCAACACAAAAGAATCAGAGTCAGAAGTAATCCAGGCTGTAGACAAACTCACTTTCTTGGGAAGTTTAATAATCCAAGATGGCGGGATGATGATGCCAGCATGAATCCCCAGAGTGCATTGTTCTTCTATCTGCTGCATCATGAAGCAGGTGGTCTTGTTGTGGTAGGCGGCCTTACACCACGAACAGCTGATTGCTATGATATCCTGCAACAAACCATCATGGGGAATCAGAGTCACCAACAACTTGGGGTTCAACGTCGCCTCCGAGATTATTGCACTAATATAGCCACGTGCATGTGTGTTGTTGCTTGTACTAGTCCGGACTAATGCCGATTTATAGTGCAAGCCCACTCAGATACCATGCCGCAGATTATCATAAATACCCTACTCAGTCACAGTATACTGACTCTGAGCCAACCAGTCCTTGTTTTAGCCCCCAAATGCCGAGCGCCAGGCAGGGTAACAACAAGTACCATCTACCGTCTTTCGGTATGATGCGGCCGGGGATCCAAACGCCAGACCTTTCGCTATACGGGGGGACGCTCTACCACAAGATGACTGAGGCGGCCTACACATCTCGTCCCATCAAGCATGAGGTCTTCTTCAAGCCTTTTCACAAGGCTAAAAAAGTAAATTCTTGACACTCAAGAGATTCATGTTGTTTCTCTTCTTCAAGGCCATATGACCCACATGACATGGACGTACATGTAACACAGCTGGGGTGACATGTGACCTCTAAGATAGAACATACAAAGTAAATATTTAGTAAAAGTACAATTGGTCTCTTTATCCTTAAATGTACAGTTAGAAAGGTAGGATATTATCAAATGACAAATTGTTAAATGTATCTCTAAGATCTTCATCTTGAGATATTCTTACCTTATTCCTTGCCTATACTAACAGTTCCATTTGTACCTCTGAATACTTAAATCCAAATATTCAACTCTACATACCAGTGTTTCAATATTACTTTTTGAGTTATGAAGTTATATTTTGCAACATGAAATTATTAGAGAAAAGTAGTAAAGGGAAATATTGGGATTGAACTCCGAAAGATGCATCACGACACATGACTCCCCCTTCCAAGGTGAGACCATCAGAGATCAGATTAAAAAGAAATTAAACTAGGCTGTTATTTCCTGGTTTACAGACATATTCTTGTGTACAAATCTTGGTCAGTAGGTGGGAAAAATGTAAAAGACAAATTTCATATAGCCGTTTTCCTTCTGCAAAATGTTTTCTGAAAGCTGCCATGAGTGCAGAGATAGTTTTTGACCTAATGTATCCAATTTTAATGTTTTGCAGCATAATCTGTTTTATGCAAAAACTATAGTGGTAACCATGGAAGTTTGTCTTTGGAAGAGTTATTTAAATAAACAGTGCTTTCAAGTACAATTTTTTCAACTTTTGGTGGAATCAGAAAACTAATTTTGAAATCAAGTCTCACCTTATTTGAAAATCTCCCATCCTACGTAACCAATAAAATATTGACATCAGGAAACGTGCCTACTCTCAAAAAGAGATTTGTTCTAAAATTTGAGGAAAAAAACCCTAATCATTTTCATTTATGTCTTGAGATGGGGGACTGCTGACATAATGCTGAAGGTGGAAATCAATGTCTCCTCTCTCACCTTGTTCTGGAAGGCGAACCTCTGCTGGAAGGACTGAAACAAAGACGCCAATATGTCATTGCCATCTTATTGATTTTTCTCAAGAATTTCTCAGATTGTCTCATTTTAAGCAATAATAAATACCACAAACAGGTTAATGAATCCAAAACAACTGAAAGGAAAAATTGTATCAAATAACAAACTGAAAAAATTAAGCTCTGAAGGAAGTGTAGGATGTGTGTAAATCTGGGTCAGCAGCTCTTCCATGTAGTCCAGGGTGACTGTGGTCTGGACATGATCAAGTCTGGACAAGCAACTCAGGGACTTAAAGAGTGGCCAATTCTCCCAACCATTGAGTCACAATGCTCCCAACCATTGAGTCACAATGCTCCCAACCATTGAGGCACAATGCTCCCCACCATTGAGGCACAATGCTCCACACCATTGAGGCACAATGCTCCCCACCATTGAGTCACAATGCTCCCCACTATTGAGGCACAATGCTCCCCACTATTGAGGCACAATGACCAGACAAACTAGTGACTTAACGCATGGGCAATGGTCTACACCATTGAGTAACAATGCTCCCAACCATTGAGGCACAATGCTCCCAACCATTGAGGCACAATGCTCCCAACCATTGAGGCACAATGCTCCCCACCATTGAGGCACAATGCTCCACACCATTGAGGCACAATGCTCCCCACCATTGAGTCACAATGCTCCCCACCATTGAGTCACAATGCTCCCCACAATTGAGGCACAATGCTCCCCACTATTGAGGCACAATGACCAGACAAACAAGTGACTTAACGCATGGGCAATGGTCTACACCATTGAGGCACAATGCTCCCAACCATTGAGTCACAATGCTCCCCACCATTGAGGCACAATGCTCCCCACCATTGAGTCACAATGCTCCCCACCATTGAGTCACAATGCTCCCAACCATTGAGTCACAATGCTCCCCACCATTGAGTCACAATGCTTCCCACCATTGAGGCACAATGCTTCCCACCATTGAGGCACAATGACCAGACAAACTAGTGACTTAACGCATGGGCAATGGTCTACACCATTGAGTCACAATGCTTCCCACCATTGAGTAACAATGCTCCCCACCATTGAGGCACAATGCTCCCAACCATTGAGGCACAATGCTCCCCACCACTGAGGCACAATGCTCCACACCATAGAGGCACAATGCTCTCCACCATTGAGGCACAATGCTCCCAACCATTGAGGCACAATGCTCCCAACCATTGAGGCACAATGCTCCCAACCATTGAGGCACAATGCTCCCCACCATTGAGGCACAATGCTCCACACCATTGAGTCACAATGCTCCCCACCATTGAGGCACAATGCTCCCCACCATTGAGTCACAATGCTCCCCACCATTGAGGCACCATGCTTCCCACCATTGAGTCACAATGCTCCCCACCATTGAGGCACAATGCTCCACACCATTGAGGCACAATCCTTCCCACCATTGAGTCACAATGCTCACCATCATTGAGGCACAATGCTTCCCACCATTGAGGCACAATGCTCCACACCATAGAGGCACAATGCACCCAACCATTGAGGCACAATGCTCCCAACCATTGAGGCACAATGCTCTCCACCATTGAGGCACAATGCTCCACACCATTGAGGCACAATGCTCCCAACCATTAAGGCACAATGCTTCCCACCATTGAGGCACAATGCTCCCCACCATTGAGTCACAATGCTTCCCACCATTGAGGCACAATGACCAGACAAACTAGTGACTTAACGCATGGGCAATGGTCTACACCATTGAGTAACAATGCTCCCAACCATTGAGGCACAATGCTCCCAACCATTGAGGCACAATGCTCCCCACCATTGAGGCACAATGCTCCACACCATTGAGGCACAATGCTCCCCACCATTGAGTCACAATGCTCCCCACCATTGAGTCACAATGCTCCCCACCATTGAGGCACAATGCTCCCCACTATTGAGGCACAATGACCAGACAAACTAGTGACTTAACGCATGGGCAATGGTCTACACCATTGAGGCACAATGCTCCCCACCATTGAGTCACAATGCTCCCCACCATTGAGTCACAATGCTCCCAACCATTGAGTCACAATGCTCCCCACCATTGAGTCACAATGCTTCCCACCATTGAGGCACAATGCTTCCCACCATTGAGGCACAATGACCAGACAAACTAGTGACTTAACGCATGGGCAATGGTCTACACCATTGAGTCACAATGCTTCCCACCATTGAGTAACAATGCTCCCCACCATTGAGGCACAATGCTCCCCACCATTGAGTCACAATGCTCCCAACCATTGAGGCACAATGCTCCCCACCATTGAGGCACAATGTTCCCCACCATTGAGGCACAAAGCTCCCAACCATTGAGGCACAATGCTCCCCACCATTGAGTCACAATGCTCCCCACCATTGAGTCACAATCCTCCCCACCATTGAGTCACAATGCTCCCCACCATTGAGTCACAATGCTCCCCACCATTGAGTCACAATGCTCCCCACCATTGAGGCACAATGCTCCCCACCATTGAGGCACAATGCTCCACACCATTGAGGCACAATGCTCCCAACCATTGAGGCACAATGCTCCCCACCATTGAGGCACAATGCTCTCAACCATTGAGGCACAATGCTCCCCACCATTTAGTCACAATGTTCCCCACCATTGAGTCACAATGCTCCCCACCATTGAATCACAATGCTTCCCACCATTGAGGCACAATGCTCCCCACCATTGAGGCACAATGCTCCCCACCATTGAGGCACAATGCTCCCCACCATTGAGGCACAATGCTCCCTAACATTGAGGCACAATGACCAAACTAGTGTGTGGCCAATGCTCCCCACCATTGAGGCACAATGACCAAACTAGTGTGTGGCCAATGCTCCCCACCATTGAGGCACAATGCTCCCCACCATTGAGGCACAATGCTCCCCACCATTGAGGCACAATGACTAAACTAGTGTGTGGCCAATGCTTCCCACCATTGAGTCACAATGCTCCCCACCATTGAGGCACAATGCTCCCCACCATTGAGGCACAATGTTCCCCACCATTGAGGCACAATGCTCCCCACCATTGAGGCACAATGACCAAACTAGTGTGTGGCCAATGCTCCCCACCATTGAGGCACAATGACCAAACTAGTGTGTGGCCAATGCTCCCAACCATTGAGGCACAATGCTCCCCACCATTGAGGCACAATGCTCCCAACCATAGAGGCACAATGCTCCCCACCATAGAGGCACAATGCTTCCCACCATAGAGGCACAATGCTCCCCACCATTGAGTCACAATGCTCCACACCATTGAGGCACAATGCTCCCCACCATTGAGGCACAATGCTCCCCACCATTGAGGCACAATGCTCCCCACCATTGAGGCACAATGCTCCCCACCATTGAGGCACAATGCTCCCCACCAAACTAGTGACTTAACGCATGACCAATGCAATTGGAACCTGAAAGCATCTGAAATTGAACCTATTCATTTATCATCATTAAATTCTGCATTTTGCCAAACTACTCCAACACTTCCTGTCGTCACAGAGCACAAAAAATGGCTGACACTAGCTGAGAGGAAAAACAGGTGTTTTAATCTTGTCTTGAATGAATCTCATTCTATGTCAGAAGTTAATGTGCATCGAAAGTAAAACATTATTCCCCTTGGATACAGATTATTCATCTTTGGCAAAAATGTATTTTGTATACATAAACGATGTATTTTGATGGGAGTCGATATGAAACCTTATCAGCCATAGAGCTAGATAAAAGATTTCACCCATAAATCTAGTATTTGCTCTATAAGTGTTGACATAAGTGCTAATAAACAGTAGGCAATTCATCTGTGGCTGATTGTGACTCACACAATATTAATTTATATTTGACCGAAATTCTCCAAAACTGCTGTGCACCTCTTCTATTGCCAACTGCCGTCAAATCTGATAGTATTTCTTTTCATTTGCATAGTAAATGCATTTGATAACAATGGGGAAGCTATGCTACCAATATAATTTTAATTTCATTACATGCTTCTTATCCAAATAAATAGGAGGGCCTCTGACTGTGGTGTGAGTGTGTGTGAATATGAGTTGAGAGGAGTGGTGGTGGAGAGGAAGAGGTGTGGCGGTGGAGAGGAAGAGGAGCAGCGGTGGAGAGGAAGAGGAGTGGTGGTGGAGAGGAAGAGGAGAGGCGGTCAAGAGGAAGAGGTGTGGCGGTGGAGAGGAAGAGGAGTGGCGGTGGAGAGGAAGAGGAGTGGTGGTGGAGAGGAAGAGGAGTGACGGTGGAGAGGAAGAGGAGTGGTGGTGGAGAGGAAGAGGAGAGGCGGTTGAGAGGAAGAGGTGTGGCGGTGGAGAGGAAGAGGAGCAGCGGTGGCGAGGAAGAGGAGTGGTGGTGGAGAGGAAGAGGAGAGGCGGTCGAGAGGAAGAGGTGTGGCGGTGGAGAGGAAGAGGAGCAGCGGTGGAGAGGAAGAGGAGTGGTGGTGGAGAGGAAGAGGAGTGGCGGTGGAGAGGAAGAGGAGTGGCGGTGGTGAGGAAGAGGAGTGGCGGTGGAGAGGAAGAGGATCGGTGGGTGAGAGGAAGAGGAGTGGTGGTGGAGAGGAAGAGGAGAGGCGGTGGAGAGGAGGAGGAGTGGCGGTGGTGACGAAGAGGAGCGGCGGTGGTGAAGAAGAGGAGTGGCGGTGGTGAGGAAGAGGAGTGGCGGTGGTGAAGAAGAGGAGAGGCGGTGGAGAGGAAGAGGAGTGGCGGTGGTGAGGAAGAGGAGTGGCGGTGGTGAAGAAGAGGAGTGGCGGTGGTGAGGAAGAGGAGTGGCGGTGGAGAGGAAGAGGATCGGTGGGTGAGAGGAAGAGGAGAGGCGGTGGAGAGGAGGAGGAGTGGCGGTGGAGAGTAAGAGGATCGGTGGGTGAGAGGAAGAGGTGTGGCGATAGAGAGGAAGAGGATCGGCGGTGGAGCGGAAGAGGATCAGCGGTGGAGAGGAAGAGGTGTGGCGGTGGAGAGTAAGAGGAGCTGCAGTGGAGAGTAAGAGGAGCGGCGGTGGAGAGGAAGAGATGTGGCGTTGGAGAGGAAGAGGAGTGGCGATGGAGAGGAAGAGGAGTGGCGATGGAGAGGAAGAGGAGCGGTTGTGGAGAGGAAGAGGAGGTCAGGAGAAGAGAAGGTGGGGACGAATATGACTTTAAGGAGGGTCATGAAAAAATATGTCTGTTGGAGGTCTTGATAGATATGGTCATTTATTGTGTTGAAACTATTTCTGGTGTAAATATCTTCTGGCACATCAAAGATTATAATGTGAGTGAGGTAATTGCAACTATATTCTAATTTCTAAATCTATCAAATCTTTCAAGAAATGGACATTTTTCATACAAGAAATGTACAACTAGTGGAGAGAGTCATAAACATTTGTACATTATGGATAACAACTTCTTTATGTTTTGTGGGGCGGTGGGGTCTGGTAGCCTAGTGGTTAAAGCGTTCGCTTGTCACGCCAAAGATCCAGGTTCGAATCCCGGCATGGGTACAATGTGTGAAGCCCATTTCTGGTGTCCCCCACCGTGATATTGCTGGAATATTGCTAAAAGTGGCATAAAACTAAACTCACCCACTCACTCTTTATGTTTTGTCCCAACATTTCAGGGCTACTTCTTGCTCTTCATCAGGTGACTACTGATTGATTGATTGTTTAACGCCGCACTCGGCAATATTCAAGCTATATGACGGGGTTTGTAAATAATCAAATCTGAACCAGACAATCCAGTGATAGACATCATGAGCATCAATCCACGCAACTGGGATACGATGACATGCATCAACCAACTCAGCGAGTCTGACCACTCGATCCCATTCATCACCTCATACGACAAGCATAGTCACCTTTTACAGCAAACATAGGTTGCTGAAGACCAATTCTGCCCTGGATCTTCACGGGTATGAGTAAGTGTATTGAGTTAATATGATGGTATTTTTACACAAGATAGGAATAAGGTACAAAGATAAAAATATAACAAGGAACCACCAAATGGAGAGAGCCAATCAAATACAATGATGGTGGAGTGAAGGTTGAGTGAGGGCTTGGCTGTTATAACAAAGAGCTGATACGGTGACAGTGTAACAAGAAGGCAATGAAGATGTCCACGGGCATGGAGTTAGAGCACATCAGTTGTTATCAATAACAGTGTCACATATTCATGAATTCATTCTAAACTCTTAGAAAAGACTTGTTTGTACATTAGTTTGGAACCAGTAAATAAATGAGTGAGCTTCCATATTGTAAAGGGATGCCCTTCTTGAATGCCACTGACAGCTCACCTTGCCACATTGTTTGCACTTGCCCTCCTGCCGACGCCGATGTACCCAGTGGTGTCGCATGAATGTTTGCTGAAATTCAAAATAGAAACAAGCATGAAATACTCCTATCCCCCATGTGTGCAAGGCATTGGCCCTCTGGAAATGAGCACTACCACCATTTTCAGTCTTAGTCAAAGTTCGCCGCCATGGAAACTCAAAAAATATATTTTGTCCAAACTTCAAAACTATCAAAAGGCACTAGTTCACTGCTAGACTGATCTGTGTACCAAGTTTGGTTAAGATTTCTCTCATGGTTTTTGAATTCTGCTTCAGAAACGAAACAAGACAGATGACGGATGGACATCACCCATTCGTATGTCTTCCTTCCACTTCGTGGCGGGGGAAAATAATCAGTCATCCATTACTAACATGCTCAGGCCATACTTCAAATTTTTGTAGTTTCTTTCTAATCCATTAGAGATACAGTGGATGGACAAATACAAATAAATATAAAACTGTCATCTTTTTCTTTCTCATCGTGTTTTTGGCTATAGTTGCTTGAATGAGTAAACTACATAAAGTATTGCCAAAGTAATAAATACATAACAATAAAGTTGAAGTATTGATGATGATGATGATGATGAATTTAGTTATCACTAAGACATTTAAAATAAAAATGGAGGACTCAAAAAAGAAATATATTAGAAAAATTACTTTAAAAAAAAAAGTTAACTTAAAAGAGAGGCCGGTTTAACGGTTAATGGCTAAATTGGAGCTGCAGGTTACAGCCAGCCGGAGATACAACACACGGAGCGACGTGTTCACTGCAAGAAGTTAGTATGCTAATGGAAGACTACTTGCTGTACCGCTGGGATTGGACGCACTCTGCTTCAAACTGACACACTACGTTTGACAACTGACATCAAATATTTAAAGCAGCTTTTTATCTTAAGATCTAACATTCTACATATGGTGACTCATCGTAAAGATGTGTGTTTAAAAAATAATTTACAGGGAATACTAGAAATTACTAACCAGAATTCTTTGGATTTGTGCTCGATTGGTTTTGTGTCTGACCAAAGTAGCCAACCCCAGGCCCCCTTGCCCTTAATTAGTTGTTTGTTTGTTGTTTAACGTTGCACTCAGCAATATTCCAGCTATATGACAGCAGTATGTAGATAATTGAGTCTGGACAAGACAATCCAGCAATTGACATCGTAAGCATCGATCCACATAACTGGGATACGGTGACATGCATCAACCAAGTCAGTGAACCTGACCATCTGATCCTGTTTGTCGCCTTTTATGGCAAGCATGGCATGCAGAAGACCTGTTCTACCCCGGATCTTCACGGGTCCCCTTAATTAGAGTAAGATGGGTTAAATTCTGCTTTGAATAAGTCACAGTGTCCGATTGTTGCCCAGAGTGATGTAGGTAGATATTATCAGAGATACCCTTGAGCCAACTGCATACCCCATCAGAGTGAAACATGCAATCGTTGATTCAAACAGTGAACTAGGCTGCTATACTAAATGATCTCTTTGTGTTGCTTCGTGACAATTTATATTTCTTAAGGAACTAAAGTAGCCATTAAAGTCAGAAATGATAAAGTTGGATAAATACCAGTTTCTTCTAATACCACTGCAAGGGCTCCCTTAAACATGAAGTATAAAACCCAGGATCTTTCAATGCAGCTGCAAGAGTTCCCTTTAACTTGCGTGTCGCATGCCCTGTGCCTAGTGTCGCATGCCCTGTGCCGGATGCCTAGTGTCCAATGCCCTGTGCCTAGTGTCCAGTGCCCAATGCCCAATGCCCAATGCCCTGTGTCTAGTGCCCAGTGCCTGGTGTCCAGTGTCCAATGACCTGTGCCTAGTGTCCAGTGCCCAATGACCTGTGCCTAGTGTCCAGTGCCCAATGACCTGTGCCTAGTGTCCAGTGTCCAATGACCTGTGCCTAGTGTCCAGTGCCCAATACCCTGTGTCTAGTGTCCAGTGCCTGTTGTCCAGTGTCCAATACCCTGTGCCTAGTGTCCAATTACCTGTGCCTGGTGTCCAATGCCCAATGCCCTGTGTCTAGTGCCCAGTGCCTGGTGTCCAGTGTCCAATGCCCTGTGCCTAGTGTCCAGTGCCCAATGACCTGTGCCTAGTGTCCAATGCCCAATGCCCTGTGTCTAGTGCCCAGTGCCTGGTGTCCAGTGTCCAATGACCTGTGCCTAGTGTCCAATGCCCAATGTCCTGTGCCTAGTGTCCAGTGCCCTGTGTCTAGTGTCCAGTGCCTGGTGTCCAGTGTCCAATGCCCTGTGTCTAGTGTCCAATTACCTGTGCCTGGTGTCCAATGCCCAATGCCCTGTGTCTAGTGCCCAGTGCCTGGTGTCCAGTGTCCAATGCCCTGTGCCTAGTGTCCAGTGCCCAATGACCTGTGCCTAGTGTCCAGTGCCCAATGCCCTGTGTCTAGTGTCCAATTACCTGTGTCTAGTGTCCAGTGCCCAATGCCCTGTGCCTAGTGCCAGTGCCCTATGTCTAGTGCCCAGTGTCCAGTGCCCTGTGCCTAGTGTCCAGTGCCCAATGCCCTGTGTCTAGTGTCCAATGACCTGTGCCTGGTGTCCAGTGCCCAATGCCCTGTGTCTAGTGTCCAATGCCCTGTGCCTGGTGTCCAGTGCCCAATGCCCTGTGCCTAGTGTCCAGTGCCCAATGCCCTGTGCCTAGTGTCCAATGACCTGTGCCTCGTGTCCAGTGCCTAGTGTCCAGTGCCCAATGCCCTGTGCCCAGTGTCCAATGACCTGTGCCCTGTGTCCAGTGCCCTGTGCCGGATGCCTAGTGTCCAGTGCCTAGTGTCCATTGCCCAATGCCCTGTGCCCAGTGTCCAATGACTTGTGTCTAGTGTCCAGTGCCCAATGCCTTGTGCCTAGTGTCCAGTGCCCAATGCCTTGTGTCTAGTGTCCAGTGCCCAATGCCCTGTGCCTTGTGCCGGATGCCTAGTGTCCAGTGCCCAATGCCTTGTGTCTAGTGTCCAGTGCCCAATGCCCTGTGCCCAGTGTCCAATGACTTGTGTCTAGTGTCCAGTGCCCAATGCCTTGTGCCTAGTGTCCAGTGCCCAATGCCCTGTGCCCTGTGCCGGATGCCTAGTGTCCAGTGCCCAATGACCTGTGCCTAGTGTCCAGTGCCCAATGCCCTGTGCCTCGTGTCCAGTGCCTAGTGTCCAGTGCCCAATGCCCTGTGCCCAGTGTCCAATGACCTGTGCCTAGTGTCCAGTGCCCTGTGCCGGATGCCTAGTGTCCAGTGCCTAGTGTCCAGTGCCCAATGCCCTGTGCCCAGTGTCCAAGGACTTGTGTCTAGTGTCCAGTGCCCAATGCCTTGTGCCTAGTGTCCAGTGCCCAATGCCTTGTGTCTAGTGTCCAGTGCCCAATGCCCTGTGCCTTGTGCCGGATGCCTAGTGTCCAGTGCCCAATGCCTTGTGTCTAGTGTCCAGTGCCCAATGCCCTGTGCCCAGTGTCCAATGACTTGTGTCTAGTGTCCAGTGCCCAATGCCTTGTGCCTAGTGTCCAGTGCCCAATGCCCTGTGCCCAGTGCCCAGTGCCCGGTGCCCAGTCCCCAATGCCCTGTGCCCTGTGCCGGATGCCTAGTGTCCAGTGCCCAATGACCTGTGCCTAGTGTCCAGTGCCCTGTGCCGGATGCCTAGTGTCCAGTGCCTAGTGTCCAGTCCCCAATGCCCTATGCCTAGTGTCTCAGCATCTTACCTCTCTGTAATTGCGTACACCTGCTTCCCGGAAGGTTGGCTTGCATCTCAGGTTTTTCTGAAAACATCAAGAAAATTGAGATATAGAAGCCGTGTCACAGCTTGACGTCAGACAAACTAAAAACTCTCCTTTCAACTCTTACCATAATCAGTCTGAAGGGTATTTTTTCAAACTTAACCATTTTTTGCAGGAGAATTTAACTCAACTTCCTACCGAAATGTCTTTAAACCAATCACTATAAAAAAAAAGGTTTAAGTTTTTATGTTATTTTATCACGCCCTTTAATATCACATCGCAAAATATTACCAATGAATTCATTTCAATCACTTGCTGTGAATAGCAATAAAATTGTTGATGTAGCAGAAAGCAATATTCACTCACTCACTCACTCAACATATTTCAACAGAACATGACACTAAATTCCTGTTAAAAGCTCTGCAGTTACATTTCCAACATTAACGTGTTAAACAAATCCTCTTTTATCAGAGACATTCAAGCATACATAAACTTGTCAATATATTCAACTTAATATCCCAACTACAGAACCATTTCAACAAAACACAAATCGTGTATTGACCTTCACCTGCTCAATGCATTCTATCAAGCATATGTTTTTTCCTCAAGGCCTACCAGTCACACAATAAGTCAATACATGACAAGTAAATTATCAACATCAATCACAGAATACCTAATCCACTGATTCCGACCCAAGATATAACAAACAATGAATTCATTGATAATTTTGGACATCAAAACATGCATAAATCAACCACGTACTGGAAAGCTACACCCATTTTTCAAGTATGATACACAAGAAAATCATTTAACCTTTGTCATCCTGGACGGCAAAGAAAACAATGGTTGTCAAATTAAACCTCAAGCCATCAGCCTCATGCACGAGTTTGACAGCGAGGCTTAATGGATTTTCAGAACATGTGATGAGGAATGCCAGCGAAGCCCCTTCACCATCCTCTGTGTGTGTGACTGTACCATACACAGGAGTGAGTGAGTGAGTGAGTGAGTGAGTGAGTGGGTGGGTGGGTGGGTGGGTGAGTGAGTGAGTGAGTGAGTGAGTGAGTGAGTGAGTGGGTGGGTGGGTGGGTGAGTGTGTGGATGTGAGGGTGTGTGTGTGATTATGGCTTTACGTCGCTTTTAGCAATATTCTAGCAATCTCACGGTAGGGGACACCAGAAATGGGCTTCACACGTTGTACCCATGTGGGGAATTGAACCTGGATCTTTGGCATGACAAGTGAATGCTTTAACCACTAGGCTACCCGACCACCCCTTACCATATACAGGAACACAGGGAAGCTATGTGAAGTCCTGGCAGACAATGTGGGAAAATATTATTATATATTCCAATTTTTTTATAGTTCATACTTTCTTAATTTCAGATGCATTTTAACATTATATTGTAACCTTGCATTCAATGCAACAATGTAGAATTAAGCATTCAGGGCTCTTTTTCTTTACTGGTCATTATCCACGTAGGAATTTTTACTCACACTTTTTTCAGATTTAAGACCGAATATCAACATCTGAGCAGGTCCAGATACATCCCTGGTAACATGAAATAATTGTGACCTCATATGCTATTGTTCGTTTGTTTGTTGTTTAACGCCGCACTCAGTAATATTCCAGCTATATGATGCAGTCTGTAAATAATCGAGTCTGGACCAGACAATCCAGTGACTGACATCATGAGCATCAGTCCATGCAATTGGGATATGATGACATGCATCAACCAAGTCAGCGAGCCTGACCACCCGATCCCGTTAGTCTGTTAATTAAGTTACACTGACATACTCTTTGTCCTCTCCAGCAAAGACTTTCTCTGAAATTTAAGGATATCATTTCCCCCCCCAAAAAAAATAAAAAATAAAATCCCAAAAGATGAGTGTGGATTACACAAAATACCATATAGTAGGCATAATGCAATAATAAATCTAGCTCCTGATTGAATTGGATTAATGATATTAAAACACAATACACTGTATTGCGTGCCACAAATCTATTAAATCATCATGCGAGAATTCCACAAGGGATTAAATATGATTGCCATGGTTACAGCAATGAAAACAATTTTTTATATACCTAAAATATTTAAATTACGTATAATCATGTAACTATTTCCATAGTGTGAGTTTAAAAATATAATTTTGTTTGTATTATTTTTAAAACCTCAAATCAACACAGAAATATATATTGAATGATGAATAAATATTGTTTATGCGGCATCAGCAAGTTTACAACTATTCGAAGCATGAACCGGTTGATACAAGTTCCAGCATGTGTATATAAGCAACAACATTGATGAAGAAAACCTGCAAACAGGAAAGAAAACAGGTCTGGTCTCTCGATGATAAGCCGACAGACTGCATGTTAGTATGTATGTGCTCAGTGAACGTTGCCCAGTGTGGTGTAGAAGCCATCCAGGTCTCATAAGGTCGAGACAGAAGCCTTCATACCTCTGTACTATTAATGTGTAACACACTTTCAGTGCTCTTATACCTATCCCAGAGTCGTGCAGTAATATGTCTGCGACTTTGTCAACATCCATTTGATAATTAATAAATGCCAATCTGCAAATTACAATGACACAGTTTTTCATCATTTATGTGATTTGTACAGCCATGCTCAGCAACAACACATTTCTGGAGCACAAACAAACATTGACCATTCCTGGAAAATATGTACACATTTAGCACTAATCCGATAATACTACACGTTAAATCCACACGCAAGACACACCCTAGCCAATTCGGTAGAGCAACCTTATTTTTGTCAATAGCCAATAATTGAAGCCTGGATTAATTTGTTTGATGTTTTTTTCCCTCATTTACTTGTTCACAACACGTATATGTCGGTGGCTCCATGCTTGACCAATACTCATGGCCTCTGTGGAGGGTGTTTACATGTAATCCAAGGCCTCGTCAAAACATCCGAACATAGCCCTACTTTAACATCGAGGTTCAGCAGAGCTGCTGCATGAATATTGATGCAAAGTAGTGGTTGACTGAGAACAGCTCAATGACAAAGACTGATGTCTTGTAGACAAACTATAATGACACACCATTGTAGCTTATGTGGATATATACTGTACAAATAAGATAGGGATTCTTTTTTAGGGGAAGGGAGGGGGTGGGGGTGAAGGAGGACATTTGTTGTTGTGAACATGAAGCACAAAATTTTATAAAAATATCCCCCAAAATACTCATGATCCCTAACTTGTTTTGTTTAAGTTAATTGTCTGAATAAATGTTTCACTTGACAAGTATCTGTATTAATTAAACCAGCTTTATCGAAAACATTTGTATGCCAGCAACTTGATCCATGCCACTTTGTTAACATAACTTCTTTCTCGTTTAATGATGATGTATTCCATGAATATCACAGCAGCCTGTAAATGAACGAGATTGGGCTGACATACCAGGGGTTGATAACTTCATAACCAAAAAATTAATGTCCAACAATTGTACCTTTTCTGACCGGCATCTCCACAGGGAGACACACTTCAAGTACTGGGGACCTTTTCTGACTGGCATCTCCACAGGGAGACAAACTTCAAGTACTGGGGACCTTTTCTGACTGGCATCTCCACAGGGAGACAAACTTCAAGTACTGGGGACCTTTTCTGACTGGCATCTCCACAGGGAGACAAACTTCAAGTTCTGGGGACCTTTTCTGACTGGCATTTCCACAGGGAGACAAACTTCAAGTACTGGGGACCTTTTCTGACTGGCATTTCCACAGGGAGACAAACTTCAAGTTCTGGGGACCTTTTCTGACTGGCATTTCCACAGGGAGACAAACTTCAAGTACTGGGGACCTTTTCTGACCGGCATCTCCACAGGGAAACAAACTTCAAGTACTGGGGACCTTTTCTGACTGGCATCTCCACAGGGAGACAAACTTCAAGTACTGGGGACCTTTTCTGACTGGCATTTCCACAGGGAGACAAACTTCAAGTACTGGGGACCTTTTCTGACCGGCATTTCCACAGGGAAACAAACTTCAAGTACTGGGGACCTTTTCTGACTGGCATCTCCACAGGGAGACACACTTCAAGTACTGGGGACCTATTCTGACTGGCATCTCCACAGAGAGACAAACTTCAAGTTCTGGGGACCTTTTCTGACTGGCATTTCCACAGGGAGACAAACTTCAAGTACTGGGGACCTTTTCTGACCGGCATCTCCACAGGGAGACAAACTTCAAGTTCTGGGGACCTTTTCTGACCGGCATCTCCACAGGGAGACACACTTCAAGTACTGGGGACCTTTTCTGACTGGCATCTCCACAGGGAAACAAACTTCAAGTACTGGGGACCTTTTCTGACCGGCATCTCCACAGGGAAACAAACTTGAAGTACTCAGGAAATCTTTGACCTCAAGCCTCACCAATTTGAGCTTTCTGGGTGGCTACATAAGAAATCAACAAATCTGGGGTATCATCATTTGACGGAACAATCAAGTTTCAGCATATTGATGCAAAGGTCAACGGCCAAATTTTGAAATATTGCAACCCCTAAAATGGGAACATAAGCCCAGTTGAGCCCCACTACCTGCTATTACATATACCAAATGATCGTGTCGTAACCACAAATAGTGTTTTTTAATACAGCTGTCATAGTGGCAATAAAGGAAATCAGATTGGAACCCTTGAAGAGATTGGGGGGATTCATTGGTAGGGACAAGCATGTAGTTTCAACTTCTTTGGTCCAGTTGATTCTGAGGTGAGATGATGTTTATACAGACGCAGATGCTGGACTCGGGACAAGCAGGCCATGACAAAAGCTCACTTCATTTTCAATCAAGTGCTCACTCTACTTTCAATCAGGTGAGCTACAAATTAATAATCACAAATGGATAAGAAACATCATCATCATCATCATCATCATCATCATCATCATGACCTTCATGAGGAGCTGGGGGCACGGGTGGCCCAGTCGTCTGAGGCGTCGCGTTTCGCTGTGCAGAGTTGCATCCCTTAGGCACGACAGAAACCTATGATTGTGGGTTCAAATCCTAGTTCGCCCCGATTATGTTTCTAGGT